CAGTACCCCAAAGTCAGACGCGGCTTCGAGCCCGCTCCAAGCTTAAAGCTAAGCCATGCCGCTGCTCTAGGTCCGGGTAGACACCGCCGAATGTCTTTTACATGGTGCTGCAAAGCAAGGACCTCGGTATAGACACCGAAGAAGTAGAGGAAGTTCTACTGGAGACCGAGTGGTGCGCGTGAGCTCCCTTCGTCTCAGGAAGCTGTGGCTGAATCTACGCGGGAACGCACAGGTCCTCGGAAGACGTTACCACGATCCAGGCCAAGGCTGAACAGTGCACTCTAGTGCTGGCCGCGCCCGCAGACGAGGCTTAGATAACGGCGGGGGCGGCGTGAACCTGTGGCGTTGTATTGCGACTTGCGAATAGAGCGCTTTCGTGCGAAGCTTATGACTAGTGAGGCCTAGTGAGATACAAGCCTTGCTGCCTCGTGCCGTGCAGTCTGGGAGACCCAAGTGTTAGGGCGGTTCGCATGGAACAATTCTCTCCAGTCGGCCACCGCCCCCGATCTTCCTCGCTTTCCGACCGCTTGCCGAGGCCCTTGATACTTCCTGGAGCTAGTTAGTTTCCTTCGCTGGGTATAGACCAGATTGCTATCCCGCCAATAGTAGGTGAGCGCGAGCTCAGACTACAGGGACCGTGGGGCCGAACACGGCACACTTTTAGTAAGGAAACTGGTATAATCGGCACAGAGAGCACTTGACTTGCTCGTTCGGGTCTGCAGGGCCTTCCTGTAGTCTGACATGATTGACAACAGCCTCTAGCAGTTGCAAGCTGCACGTAAATATTGCTGTCGCGGAGGTTGGAAGGTCGTCACACGACCACGACACGCGAAGAAGCAGGGGTGCACGTATCTGTGATAGAGTTTGGGGGGCTATTCAATCGCGTCAAACACCCCAGGTTCGCGGGACGCTGGAAAACTGCAAACGAAAAGGCGATGGGGATTCCACGCCAAAGGTATGCATGGGAAAAGTGCTAAGGAAGTACAAAGCAGTGAGATAGCATTATCGACAGGACTAGAAGCAGCAGTCAGCAAATCCTCCATCCCTTCCCTAAATCTATCAATTTAAGAGAAATCTTAGAGTAGATGTAGATACTGTAGAAAGTGAGTGAATAAAGCATATGAAATATTTTGAGAGGTCCTATACAGAGTGAGTGAGGCGAGTAGATGACTGGGAGACGTTTAAGTCTTCTTGCAGATATGCCTCTTGCCACCCGTGCTTTTGAGACGGCACTCGCGCGAGCACCACATCTCATTACAACGCGGGCAGCAGGGGTAATTCGAGCCGACCGTGCCGCATGAGGCACAGGCGGTGCGGACGCAGAACTTGCTGGCATCTTCGAGGGCTTCTAGGATGGGGCGCAGGTGGCTTTGTGGCAGCACTGGCGAGACGGTCGCCGAGTGCACCGGTGTCGCGGGGCCCGCGGATGAGGGTGGGCTGGGGAAGTACTCAGACTCGGAGGAGTACGAGGATGGCGTGCGACAGATGGAGGGGATGGGCGAGAGCGGGGGCGAACCGTCTGAGGACTCGTGCTGTGTCTGCGAGGTGTCAGGAGCAAAGTCAAAGTCAACTCGGAGACGTTCTGGCTTGTGCTTCAGGTTCCATGACCGGGGAGCTGTGCTCAAAAGGTGGTGGAGGTGGCGGCGCGGACAGCTCGTTAACGAGAAGGCGCCAATAGTCTCTTCTGCGTCTACGGTCTCGACTGGATGGACAGGCACAGGTTTGGGCATAAGACCGCGAGGGGCAGTTAGGAATTGATGGAGGGATGTAGATTTAGATGAACTTGACCTCTCTGAGATGGACACAAAGCGTTCTCTGTGGGTGGGGGCAGCAACGGTGGGACGTGATGTGAATGAAGAGGTAGAGTGCGAGCGTGTGTGGGACTTTCGGAGGATCCGAACGGAAAGAGGTTGCAGCACATCATCATTGCTCGTATGCGGAAAGTCTACAGGCTCTCTCGAACCACCCTTCCCCTTTTCAGTCATATCTCCACCAATGGTCGGCTGCGTGCCTCTGCGGTGGCTTGAGCCAGAGGAGGAAGAGGGTTCTGGGACGGAATAAAGATGACGGCCAAGCGGTGGGGTTTCCGTGTGCATGAGTGCGATGGCCATACAGTCGAGGAGAGATCTACGAGGACACGGTCAGCCACAAAGGTGATAGGAGCAACGGACAGCATGCGTACAGGGACGAGATGTACGGGAGTGGCGCAAAAGTATAATAACGAAGAAGGGGCGGCAGAAGCAACTCAGGGCCAGAGGTACTTTATATGAGAAGAGGATGAGGCTTTTTACCCTGTCACACGACCACCAGGACCTAAGTACCTCTTGCGCGCTTCTTTTATCGGGCGTTTAACTGTCGCAGTGCGGACCTCGCAATTGGGTCGTCTCCGTCCCGGGGTTCCTGAGAAGTACCGGCATCGCAAGAATGTGCAGAAATAGTCTCCGAAAACATGGACAGAGATAGACAGGTTCGGCTAGACACCGCGAGCCACCATCTACTCAAGAGTCTGCTCTTTGTCGCAGACGGTAAGACATTCGTCGGGTTTCGTTTCCGTTATCTCTGCGAAGTGGATTGCCCCCTCCACTGGACTCCACGAACGTTTTGCGACCAACGTCTGGCATTGGTCTGACGGTCCTGACGGCCGGCGAGTCCCACTTCCCGTTCTGATACGGAATAATATCTGCTCTTCACCCGCCTTCAATGACGTCCCGCGGCGCCGTGCATAATGGCGGTCGTGTGACAGTCCAGACAAAAACGTGGCAGAACCGGTACGTAACGCTTATCCAGCCCACTGCTAATAGTGTATCCCACAACCTCGAAAGTTTTCATTTGCGCCCAGGAGCGCAGACAGAACGGCGCCTTATTTTCGTCCTGTGGGGAAACCACACGACGGCCACCGTTCCAAACGCCAACCTGTCAGCGCACGCAAGCGCACATACACCGAACACAGGTAGAGCACAGGATAGACAGTGCCGCAGGTCAGGTGTTGGTCGTTGCATGATCCGCTGCACAGCTGTCCTCTTGTCAGCTTCTAGCTCCTGCATTCTTAGCGTCACCAAGCCACGGTTGCCACCCCATTCAGAACAGGACGTGAGGATCTTGTATAAGGTTACAATACAATACACAGCGCCACGAGGAGCGCGGAGACAAAGATAACATGATACAGGGTATATACGTCTTAAGCAATAATCTATCCATGCATCTTGTTCTTGTTCTTGTGCATACGCGATAAAAACGGACATTTATATACCGAGAAGATAAAGCGTATCTCAGCTGTCGGCAACGACCTCCAGCGATACGCTGGAAGTGGCCTCAGAACTATGAGTGTCCTTCCTGCTGGGGCAGACGTGCTTTCTACCCGCGGTAGCTTGGATACGACACTCCCTCGAACACCACATGTCTCCGCACGCGGGACAGCTCGGGAAGTTGTGCCCGGTCCGTTTGCACGCGACGCATTGCCCCGGCACGCGCAGGCGGGATTTCTGTTCCAGGTTCGAGAGCGTGGGGCTCAGCATATGAGAAGGTGAATGAAGAGGCGAGTGGCCTCGTGGTGTCTCCGGTCCCTCGGAAGAGGAGACGGTCTCGAGGGACGCGAAAGAGGGTACACGACTAAGGTTTGGCTTTGTGGGGTTCCTAGAGGACGGCGGTGGACGCTTGCTGGGGACGAGTGCCGGGCACTGGGGAAGGGGCTCCCAGAGCTCCTGGTCCTGGACGTGTGCCGGAGCTACAGATTCGCGTGGGACTTCACGCACCAGCGTGGCACGCATCGAGTTGCGAAGGGCCTGGTCAGCTGACACGGATGTGCAGAGGTATGAGGCGCCGTGATTTTGGGTGTAGAGTGCAATGAGAGGCGGGGCCTTCTGCGGCGGCGCAGGAGTGCGTTCTGCTTCTTCTCCGCCACGGGAGATGACACTCGCAACGCGCGAAGGCGGCGATGGCCTCCTAGAAGACGAGATAGCCGGGGGAGAGAGCGGACGTTTGGCGGTAACGGGGAGTGACTGGCGGCGAATAGTTACAGATCGCCCGCGATCTGTCTAGAAGGAGATAAGGATTAGACTCACAAAAATCAGAGTAGCCATTTCGGTAAACTTACCGCCGGGTGGGATGTGAGAGCGACGTTTTCATGTGGCGCTGTCGAAGCGCTTGGCTCTGACATAGAGCGGATACGCCTGGATTCCTTGACTACTGTGTATCGAACGGGTACACGTTCAGCCTCTCGTTCCGAAACCCAACACAAGTTTAGTTTACCTGGCCGTGGCATACAGCACGGGTGTAGCTCCTCAGCATTGACACCAATTTCTCGCATGAAGTCCTCAAAGTGAGTCCGGTCTGGGACTTCTCCGTGCCACGTATGGTGCACCTTCTGCAATGAAGTGCGCCTGAGTTATGTGGCGATAGACAGGACGTAGCGGAGGAGGACTTACCACCAAGCCGGGGCGACGGCGGGAGTGCGCATGGGGCGCGGGATGTCTGTGTACAGGGGATCCGGCCATAGTATACAGGGAGTGACAGTGAAGCGGTCGCCGAGGAGACGTAACTGAAAATCTGCATGCGCGATGTGGTATTTGTACCCCGACGTCAGGTACGGGGGACAATCACACGAGCCCTTCCGGTTTGGCCTCAGGGCTGCTTCGAGCGGAGTAGCATCATGGTGCCCAGCCGAAGCCCACAGAAAAGTCGGGACCATTCGGTCAAATCGCGGACGAGCTGTGAGAGGACGAGAAGTCGGCACGTTAGCGTCTGAGCGCTAGGCTGGACAGTAAGGTTACGAAGATGTCATTCACCTCCACATTCCGCTGCACCTCAGGCTGCTGCAACGAGGCGATAGTGGAAGATCCATCTTTATATGAACGAATGTGCTTCAATAAGAACTCGCCTCCGGGAGGGTCTATGCTCTAGAGTAGGTCCTTGCTGGAGGTGCGCCAGCGAGGCTGGTCGCGCGACCTCCCCGTGGCAGCTGCCGAGCTCACGCTTTCTTTGACCCACATCGAAGTCTGCATGCCTTTGCTCGAAGATTTCGCAATGGCCTGGGAACGGAAAGCTTTTCTGCGGGCCGCGGCGTAAAGATGTCGTAAGTACGAATACAATGTTATTCTTCGCAAACGATGTGGCTTGATTTTCCGAGCTGCCATTCCCCAGCCCACACGCAATATGGAGTATGCTCGGCGGGTTATGTCGTATTCTGACGCATATTGTATTTGTGCAACGTGGCAGACATATCGACCAGAAGAGAAGATACCCTTTGTTATCTTATCCGGCATGTCTGGCGACAGTTCCGGGCGCGCCAGGGCACCGCCTGCCCTACCTTTGGCCACGGCAGCAAGCATCACACGAGCACCCGCAAGCGTAATTTTTGCCGCGAAACTTGCATGTAACATGCAGGCTTAGCCACATCAGTGTGTATCGCCCGCTTAGTACGCAAATCGATCTGACCTGCGCCGTTCAGGCTTAGTTTGGCCGCGGAGAGCGACGCAGAGCCCCCAAAACTTCCCATACACGCGTCCATGCGAACATATATGGCGGATGCGCGGCGCCGAGTCCAAATACAGACGGCAGACGATCGTCCCATGCCCGGTAGCTGCCTGCTACTACTCCTGGATCCTCGCTCGCACGAATCTGGTTCGCGCATTGAAACTGTGCGGGTGTGCTGGTCCGGGCGAAGACGACCTCAATCTCACACTGAGATTTGCTCCTGTTCTTCCTATCTCTTCCGACCGGCTTGGAGCTGCTTTTGACCCCTGCGACACCTTTTCTACGATGTGATGCCAGAGCGACGCACTAGCGTATTGCACGGGCTCGCAATACCGCCCTGGTGCGCGATGTTTAAGCCAAATCCCGTGTTGCAGCAGCTTTTACGTCCATCGAAGGACGTGTTCTGCCCGCGCTGCACGGTGGCAGAAGAGCTGTCCGGGTCACTCCGCCTCCAGTCACCAAACAAGACGCAGGAGCTTCTCGGGGTCTTCCACACCCTCCTTCCAGGGCTCTATTCCGTGAAGGGCATATTTTTCAGCGCACCCTGAAGCCATTCCTGACGTAGGGGCCATGTCGAGAATGTGCGTTCACCCGCATCTTAGCTCAGCAGCCTAGGGTATAGACATCATCTTCTCGCCCATCGAGATTCCCAAGACAGTCATGAAATGCTCCTTTTGCTCCACAAAATCCTTTCGCCCCGGTCTGCACGTTCGAAACACTGCGGTGTCGAGTTCCGTGAAGGGTATATAGAAATAATACATGCCGACCTAGACCACTTTTTGCCATAACAACAATCCTCCTCCAGGGCTCTATTCTATGAAGGGCATGTTCGTCAGCATACCCTGGAGCCATTCCTGACATGGGGCCGCGTTGAGAATGTGCATGCACCCGCATCATGGCTGAACAGCCTAGCGAAGCCTCGTACAGACATCATCTTCTCGTTCATCGCGATTCCACAACCGGTCGTGAAATACCCCCTTTGCTCCATAATACCCCTTAGCCCAGGTTTGCGCGTTCAAAACACTGCTATGTCGAGCTCTGTGAAGGGTGCGTAGAAATAAGTTAAGCCGAACTTGACCGGTTGTGCCATAACCAGCATGACGCCGCCTTAACGCGTCATCGTACCTTCTCTTTTTGATATCTTTGTCTCTTCTTGTTTTAATTTCAAGCGAAGGACTGGCAGGCTTAATTTCCTGGGGCAGAACCGCTCTGTTACTCAGACTGGTCGTGTGACCACTTAGTCTGGCAGCCAACTGCACTTTCTGCGCTCGTACTGCGCTCCATACTTGCCCAGTTCGTGTTCTGTGCGTTGTATGCATGCATCTGTGACTTGTCGTGCTGCATCCTCCAGGCTACTCCGCCGTGGAGGCCTCGAACTTGCTGCTGGAAAGGCGTTGCATCCCGCCCGGCAACCGGAGTAATAGTGGAGTGGTGCAGTGCTGCGGCGGCCGCGGTGCGAAGACCATTAGGTGCTTCCTGTGCTCTGAATATCGTCAGATGCTCCGCAATGCCCATGAATGACTGTCGCAGAGTTCCACCACCAGCCTTTTAGGCTCGGTTGTGCGGCCCGTTGGAGCCCGTTGATCGCAACAGACATGAGGCGCCTTCAGGCGCCTTCTGAGACGCGCACGGTGAGCGCGGTCGCTCGTGAGACGCTTCCCGTACGTTCGTACCGCCACCGCCAGATGCCCCTGTACAGTCCTGTGTGCTTTATTTCTACTACGAGCCCTTCGTAGATGTTATAGCGGCATGTATCAGAGGCGTTCCTGGGTGAGTCCCACATTCTCTGGCTTTCTCCGTCCGAGTATCATATAACGCCGGTCTCTATCTTCGTAGTGCGAAGCTTAGCCGCAGGGTCAGGATCCCGACAGCACTCATTGCCCCTCCGATCAAGAGCGTAGGCTAACGGAGGATTATGTGAAACGATGTGGAGCGCAAGTCCGTGACGCCTCGCTTGACTCGCCGCCCGAGTAGGCGAAAACGGGGCCCGGCGTTTCAAGTCGACGGGACTGTTACGTCGTCCGAACAGCATAACATGATCAAACCGTGTCCACCGTGAGGCATATAGAGGCTATTCTTGACTACGTGTTCGTCGTCGCATCTCAACAGCATCCCACTTGTTTAGCCTACTCAAGAACCTGCGCAGTGAGTGGCGTCAGCCTGATACCCTGGCTCAACACGCTGACCACGTATCTGCAAGTACAGCGCGCGAATTCCCCTATGGCACAGACTTGCAACGATGATGTGTTGCTTGACATTATGTGCCGCTTACCCAGTCTAGACTTGGCGTCGACCGCGCTCGTTTGTCGCCGATGGTCTCCAACTGCTCAGACGCGGCTCTATCGTCGCATTTCCCTTGACACCGGTGCTCCCTCTTCCCGTCTCTTGTCCGACACGCTATTGTCAGCTCCTGGGCTACGCAGCCTAATACGGGATCTGACCATCTTCCATCGCGCCGGCAGCAAAGGTGACAAAATGGTTCTCCAGTGGTTGGAGTTGCTTCCAGAAGACAGCCTGCGCTCCCTACGAATCGAGCAAATGTTCATCCCCAAGTCGTCTGACCTGTCGCTCTTACAATATCCTGCCGTACGCTCGGTGCCAAGTCTGAGCGTCTGGCCGGCCGCCAATTTCCTCAGCGTGGAGAGGCTTGATGCAGTCCTCCAGCTAGAGGCGTTGGAGAGCCTCTCAATCAGGGTCTTGCCGTACCTTCTTCCTCAGCCCCTCACTGTCACACGTATCCCTAAACTCCGCCGGCTAAGCGTCGACACTACCGAATACTTCCATACGATCACCGAGATCCTCGAGGCACTCGACCCGTCTGCCTTCCAGAGATTCGACCTCGTGACGAACACGTTGTCATGCGCTGCTATCGACACGCTCCGTCATGATTTGCGTCCCTTCTTTTCACGCCTGAAGCACTTCTCTGTGCACCCACGGCAACGCAAGACGGACGAGCCGTTCGTCGACGACCTCGTGGCCGCGATGCCGTCACTCCAGACGCTCGCATGCGGTTGGGGCACTTGCACTGCGGGCGTCATCAGCCGACTCCCCCCAACGTTGTCGTCGCTTATGCTCCTGGCCTCTACGCAGGAGCCGTTCCCGGATATGCACTTTGCTGAGGCTCTGAAGGCTGCACGGCTGCCAAGGGACATGAAAAAGCTGACGATTGTGGACACTGGACTCCGGTGGGCTTCCGTTTACTGCGCAGAACGAGATTCCCTGGAGAGCGCATGCGCTTCAAGAGGTCTTGCCTTTGAACTGATTGACAAGGGAGGTTGTGAACCCGTCTTCTTTGGGGCATATGCGAGCTAGTTAACGATATTATTGAACCGTATCATATATATATATAATATCCCACCACTTGCGCAAGAGCTGCATCACGAACTTGCGAGGCGCTGGGAGGCATAATTTACGTGCGAGGGTCAATACATTTCTTCACCTCAGCCTGGCGGTGCCTGCCGCGGCCGCTTGGCTCAACTTGTCCCGGTTTCAGACGAATATTACGGAGACTGATACCATTGTGGCGTCCACGTGACTGGGATGTTCCGCCTTATGAAGCTCGCGTTCCGAGCACTCTCAAGTTCGAAACCTCTGAACCCTCTGAACGTTCAGATCTCGACTCTGCAACACTCCGGCGCTTCAGCTCGTTAACATATCTCCAGCTCTAGATGGCGACACCTACTGTCCACGGGGAATAGCACTCAGTCTGTTTGCAGAACGGCGTTTGTAGACGTGCGTCCCCGAGTCACACCCCAGTAACCTTGTTCACGTCCAAGTGTCGTGATGTAGTCGCATCTCATGCAACAGCTTTCTTCCAACGGCGATCCTGCTGGTCCTGCGGTACGAGCCGCGGGCTAGACTCTTCGTAGGCTCTCCGCCAACCGCGGGAGAACGTTGATAAACAAGACCACGGGGATATGTAGTCTCAGGCTATCCTTGCTGGAATCAAAGGTCTTTCATCATGCTCTTTTTGGCAATGACCGCAGCATCGACAACTGGAGCTGGAATAGCAAACTACACTTTCATGGCAGTCTTTGTTCACTATAACGTCGCGTCTTGTTCTAGATTTACTTGCCGCGTCTCAATACTCGCTATCTAATCGCCATCTCGACTGCTTTTCCCGCCGTCTTGCGCGGACTTGCTCGTTCAGCTGACGCTTCACGAGGTTCTTGCGCCCTGGATCATCAAACACTGGCAGCGCCTTTATTGTGTACTTTGTCAATGCCGTACGACCGCAACTGCGCTTGAAGGGTTCACGGAATCCTGAGCCCGTGGCATCGAGGGTATATAAGGTGCAATGGCTGGGGAGGACATTGCATCAGCTTTTGTCTATACAATGCAGCTAACCGCGACCTCGAGGCTCTGTGGAATCGTCACTGCCGATTTCCAAACGTATCTGCCTCTAGAGACCGCCGAAGTTCACGCAAACATCGTCGACGGTGAGCATTCACATATTACCTTTGTCATCTTGCGGTGGCGCTCACTTCTCTAATTCTTAGTTTCCGCCGTCGTAACGATTACCCAGCAATTCTGGCAGTACTCGCCAGCAAAGCTTGAGCGCGCCAAGTATGTCTTTCCAGTCCCGGCCAGAGCAGCTGTTTGCGGTTTCGAGATGACTGCTGGAGACGGCACCGTCATCGTGGCCGTTGCCAAGGAAAAGGAAGAAGCTAAGCGGGAACATGAAGAGGCTATTTCTCGCGGGTATCTGACAGGACTTGTCGAGCACGTTACCGACGATGGTGAGCTACCTGTCTGCTATCTCGGTTCGCCGGCTTCTGACGTTATCTTCAGTCTTCACTATGTCCCTCGGGGCGCTCCCTGCGGAGGAGATGCTTCAGACTCGCATCACTGTGAGTCGTGCCTTTGTTTCTATTATTGCCTTCTGACGACGCCTCGTGCAGTATGTTATGGATCTTATGGACGACAATGCTCCCGATCAGGTCAGGCTGCAGGTCCCGACCTACATCGGCATGCGTTATGGTACCTTGCCGGAGGGTATGAAAGGTGCACTTCAGTTGCCCCAACACCGCATTCGCATCTCTGCCGACGTCCGCATGACGAGCAATGTGAGGAACGTGACGAGTCCCACTCATCCGACTCTTGTTGTCTCTGACAACTCCGCCGCTTCACGCAACGCTCGATACGTCTCGCCGGACTTCTTGAAAGAGGACTTCGTCTTGTCTATCACTGCCGATGGGCTCGACGCCCCGCGATGCTTTGCCCAGCGAGCGAAGAACGGGTCGACAGCCATGCAGCTGACCGTCGTCCCTAAGCTCGACATGCCGCGTATCCCGACTCAGGAGTACATCTTCCTCGTGGATCGCAGCGGTAGTATGACGGGCGACCGAATCGAGACCGCAAAGCGCGCGCTGCTTATGTTGCTTCGAGCCCTACCCACTCAAGGGACGCATCTCAACATCTTCAGTTTCGGTACCACGCACAGTAGCCTCTGGCCTCGGAGTGTGCCCTACGATCAGAGCTCGCTGAATACCTCTGTAAGCCACAAGTTTGTCGCTTCCGAGTCGATGTCTGATATCCACTCCAGACCCAGTATGTCGATGGCATGCTTGCGGACTATGGTGGTACGGAGATATGCGCGGCCATAAAAGGAGCGCTAGAGTCGCGCAATACAACGGTCCCAACTTCTTGTTTCCTCCTCACAGATGGCGAGGTACCTCGGCTCATTTTCATGGGGAGCATTGCTGATGTCATTTGTCCAGACGTGGGACTTAGACTCTACCGTGGCGACAGTAAAGCAGGCCGTCGAGAATGCAGGGGCAGGGGCACCGTTGTGAGTCTTTGTCCTTGGCATCGGCCGAACCAGATCCAGCGCTATGTGCGAGGGCATCGCGCAGGCCGGCAACGGCATCTGCTTGATGTCGACGACCACCGAAAGTATTGTCGGAAAGTGCTCGAGGCTTGTGCGCGCCAGCAGTACGTACATCCTCAAGAACGTCAGCGTGGACTGGGGCGTTCATGGGCACGTCGACGAAGCCAAGGGCAAGGGCGAGCCCGAGCGTCGGATCGTTCGCCAAGCGCCCGCAGAGATCCCTCTCATCTATCCTGGAAACCGGTTCATCCTGTTTGCCCTTATAGACGATGAAAAATTCATGCCTCCGAACGAAATCGTCGTACGGGCTCTGCAGGACGGACATGGCGAAGCCATCCGGTTCTCTGTGCCTGTACAACTTGTCGACCTCTCTCCCGACCATCCCCACCCGCAACTCATCCCCACTCTCGCCGCTCGCAGGGCAATCTTGGACCTGCAGCTCAACGCCCCACCAGATTCTCTCCCCAGTACCAAGGAAGCAATCATCAATCTGGGAGTCGAGTATCAGCTGGCTAGCAAGTACACGTCGTTCGTCGCCGTCGACCAGCGTTCCAACGCAGAGGTCAAGGACCGCGTGGATTCGGAGGTGACATCAGCACTTTTTTCTTCTCGTGGTTCCCCTACAAGGTCTCGGCTTCGCTCATTTGCTTATCGCTCTGCTCGGTCTCGGTCTCGGTCACCCGCTCGCACTCGTTACTCTCGTTCGAGGTCTCCGAGTTTCTCCCCTCCCGCAAGATCTCGGTCTCGCTCTCCGAGTTCTCGACCTCTCCCCCGGTGCTCTCGGTTCCGTTCCCGATGTTCTCGCTCACCGTCAGTGGAGATACTACAATCACGCGGCCGTAGCCGAACGTTATCCTCGTCCTCGCCTTCACCGTCTCCTGGGCGGGCTCTTACTTCATATCCGCAACCCGTATCCGCGCAAGAAGCGACTTATTCGCCAGCAATTTCTGTATATTCCTCGCCTCCACAGCCTGTATGTGTTGTGTCTGGGCGTGCACGTTCGCGTTCGCCCTCACCGACTCGAATTATCGTGCGTCAGGACCCTCGCCGACTGTCTCGGTCACCCCCTGTCCTAGACATGTCGACTCCATCGGCACGCTACCTTCCGTTTCCACCATCAAGGCCGACCATCGTACACACAGTACCTCATACTCTTCCCGTTGTGGTTCAGCCGCAGCCTGAAATCATGACCCGAGTGCATGCACATCGCTGTCGCTCGCCTTCACCGTCTCCTAGCCTTTGTTCTGAGGACTCCATTTCCGAGCCACAATGCATCATCGTCAGTGCTGGTTCTCGGCGGTCGCGTTCGAGAAGCCCTTCACGCGCTTGCGTCAGAATACCCTCACCCAGCCCAATCAATAGGTCGGTCCTTGCGGCCGAGATCTCCCACGAAACTAGCATCGAGGACAAACTCCTTGCGCTGGTTTGCATGCAGTCTTTTGATGGCTCGTTCACGCCGACCCCACGCCTTGAAGCGATCATTGGTCGCGACTGCCTGGATGATGCAAAGGACATCCTGGTTGACGCTACTGTTTGGACAACGGTGCTTGCAGTCGCCTTCCTCAAGAAGCATATGCAGGACCAGCCAGAACTCCTCGAGCTGCTCGAAAGTCTCGTCGAGAAAGCCGCTGACTTCGTGTCGCAGACTGCGGACGTTGGCTTCGAGGCTTTGCTTTCGCGGGCGCAGAGCATCGTGGTGTGAGTTATAATATGACTTCACCCTTCCGTCTCATTATCTGTTGGCTCGCATGAAATGAGTTTCAAACGACAGGAATATATTTTTGGACGCAAATTTTGAGAAGAGAGTTATATGAAATGGGATTGAAACTTCCAGGCAGTGCATCAAGAAAATCTAACAAAAGGAGGAGCTGATACAGCCCGCTATTTCATACATGGATGAAGTGCCAGTCCTATAAAAACATGGAAGTCAGATTAAACGATGCTTAACAGCTGAATTCAGCTGCCGTACCATCGCATGTTGGCCGGGAAACGCACTGAGATACTTCCCCACGTCACCAGTGAGAATAATGGAGTCGCTTCGAGTATTGTAGACGTAGTATAGTCGAGAGGTAGCTGCGGATAAATCAGCATGTGTATGCAGATGGAGGTGCGGCTCTGGCACTGACAGCCATTGGCATCGATCCACTGAGGGAAGACGTTGCCTATGCCATCTACAGTCCACTGCAATGAGCCCACTGTATTTGAAACGCGGCGACGCTCGGCCTGAAGAAGACGAATCACAAGCATTTTAAGCATGGCGTGGTTGGAGGATCCAGGGCCAATTATGTCTCCAGCCGTACCCGAAGGAATACCAATCAAGTAGGCATTCTAACAGCGACATGTCAGTCTGAGCCATGGAACACCCCGGCGGTAAATGGTTAGACATACGTGAGAGGTGAGATTGACCGCCGCGTTGGTGTCTCCGCGGCACGACTGGTAGCTGACGGACAGCGCCCGGCTCGTGTTCTGAGTCACGCCGAGAGAGCCATCCGCACTAGCCGACTCTGACAGGTAGCTGGTGATGGTATGGTTCGTATTTCCGTTATGCGATACTTCGATGGTGCCAGTGGTGGTAGTACAGGATGATGAAGTAGTGGTGGGCTTCGGGGCGGCGACAGCGGTCATCACTGTGGCAGATGCTCGCGCCTTGAGATGCCCTGTGGTGCCAGTGGGTTGCGGCGGATATAAGTTAAAAAGTAGCACTACGGACCTAAGGTTAGGCGGACAGGTTTGTTTGGGGGCAGGCCTCTCGCCAGTCTTTGAGCGTTGGTCATTTTCTCGGGTTCAAGAGTGCCAGGCAGAGCATCAAGACGACTGGTATGCTTCGCACGCGCGGCACCCATCTGGCTCGGGGCTGCTCTTGGGAAAGCCATGATGCCAGTTGTCAAAGAGAGCAATGCGGCAACCAGGCTGATGAGGCGAATGACATGCATCTAGGCGACTTGGGGAAGGTATCGAGTCCAAGCAAAGAGCGGAGGAAAACTACGCGGCTGAAGTGACTGAACAGCCGGACCACTCTTATATAGCCCTCTTGAGCATTTCGTCGAGCCTTCATAGGCATGTCCAACGTGTTGGGGTTTATGTCTTCGTCTATGCCTGCCATACTACGCGAGAAGAGATCCCGGCATTCATCGACTTGAGGAAGAGAAGCTTGGCATCTCCATCGCATCCAAAGGCCCCGAAGGTATTCTGAGACGGCTTTTGAGATTAGCTCACGGTCCGCGACTCGATTTCGCAGGAGTGACTAGCTACTCCATTCAGCTATGAATAGCATACAACCTAGTAAGCCCAGATGTTAGTTAAACTGAATACATGTCCGCCACGACGATTGGCAATGCTTTCAGTACTTGCTTGCGATGGCAATAATTTCTATTCTTCAGCGAATGGAACGCCTAAGCTAGGACAGATCACTTTCATAATGACACTTCATAAACTTGGAAAGAATAGGGACATAGCCGAATGTGTGCCACTGGGGACCCAAGCATTCAGCCACTTATAATCAATCAAAGATACTTTGCACATACCAAACGTATACCCCTTCGCGTTGTCGACGCATACAGCTCGCATGAGCTCTACGTCTCGGCACTAGGCTCACGCGTGGTGGGGAGCTTGGGGAAACAAGCTGTCAAGCTGGATAGAGACGACAGCTCAAACGATACTGGGGTAGGCGGCGGGAGGGCGGGAGAGACAATGGAGACTGCTTGAACTCGACACGAAGCAAGCGAATGAAGATGGCTAGCCGCTGCGCAAGAGAAGTTGAAGGTTTCACGAAGTCTAAGACGTCCACGTGTCCACGTTTCTTCCTAGTGACAAAATACCTTCAGTGTTGCTCATGAAGGCATACGTGACCCATAGTTTTGTTGCACAACAGGACTCGTGCAATTCGTAGGGCTTCGTCAATTTGACCACGTCGGACTTCGGCACATTGGGGGACTCGGCCCTCTTTTGCGCGTGAAGCGCACCCATGGAGCAAACATCTGCATGTTTTGGCCGCTGGTTGACATTCGCGATCGCCAGCCTTGGGCATTTAAATGTATGTCGAATGAGCAAAGAATGAAAGCCGCAAGCTTCAAGCTCAGGTTGGCACTTTATTGAATACTGGCAAGCTTACCAAGTAAGTGCGGGTCAAGTTCTGGGATGTATCTGAGATCAGTGACATCATAGAAAGCATTCAAAGGCTAAGGCAGCATTAGGCAACATCACTGTAGCGTTCACCCTTGATCCTCAGATCTACCACACGATGCCCGTTTTTGAGACCGAACGATCTCTCCTTAATCCAAAATTCGAAGGATACAAGCTCGACGCCATTGATCAGGATGATGTCGTTGCTCGGTACCCTCTACCCCATATTCTAAATCAGAGCTCGCCCGCGGGGAGATCTCCTCTTTCATTTCAGGAGGTGCAGAGTAGGATACGACACAACCATCTGGTCGTGGGACCGGATGGTCGCTCTGTTTACATTGACCATGATCTGAGAGTCATAGCCGTCGACGTTGATATAGTGAGTGCGAGACGTCTGCTCGCGGCTCGATTTGATACCTAATCGAACCCATTTGCAAGTAGGGGCCGTCCTTCGAGGTCCTTTATGAAATACCTAAAACTATCAAGGCGTCCTCAGATGACGGACCCCACATGGAATATCCCTCAGCGACATTCCTGGATTCTACTACCTTGTTCGTTTCCGATGGCCAGGGTACCCTTTATGCGTTGCGCATCGAGCAATCCGGACCTGCCAAACTTCTGAACTCTTTTGAGCTGAAGATACCTGAGGAATACAAATCTGTGTACAGTTCTGTGCCTTTCAAGCTACACCGGGCCGCGCTCTCGTCGGCACAAATCGCTCTTATTGTCCTCTCGTCGAAGCACTATGGCAGCCTGGCAGGAGTAGACGAAGAGGAACGGACGAAACAGCCGACGCGGTCCAAATACGACGTCTGGGCAGTAACAGTTGACCTCGAACAAATACCTCAGGATCAGCCCATCAGTCTAGACGTTGGTTGGCACAGGATCGGCGATAGTGTTCCCCTGCAAGTCACTTACATCGAGGCCAAGAAGGCGTTCATACTCTTAGGCAACGGCGAATACAGATCAATTTTAGCCCCTCCCGCAGGATCGTATGAGCCTAGCCAAGACGAAACTGTACCCATACCTCACGCAGGAGAAAATCTCGACGACACCAACAGGCAACGCACTGCCCAGGGTCTGCCAAAGCCATTGCCGTACTCCTGGACACAGACGGAGGACTCAGTGACCGTTGCATTCCCCTTGCCATCTGTGACTTCAAAGGGGGACATCAAAGTGACATTTTCGCCTACCACACTCTCGCTTTTCGTCACAGACGAGGAAGACGTCCTGAACAAAATATCGCCAGTGCCGCTTCCGCGTTATGCGCTGAAAAAGTTTTGGGACAGCATCCGCACGACAACAAGTTTCTGGACGTTCGACAGGCAAGCGGAAAGCGCCTACGGCCTGCTCACACTGCACCTCGACAAGCAGCACGACGGCACGCGCTGGGCACAGCTCTTCGGGGCTGCGGGCACTGCGGACAACGAGCCCGAGGTCCTGGAGACCCTCGACCCCTCAGAGCTCTGGCTCATCCGCGAGTCGCTCGAGAAGTATACTGCGGCGTTGCAGAGTGGCGAGGACGCGAGCGGGCTTGGGCTCGGGCGCGGCATGCCAAGTCTCGCGCAGGGCGAGATCGATGATGAGCTCGACAGGGACATCGGCGACATGTCCCAGCTCACATGGATTGCTGTCGACGGCACGGAGCCCTCGTGGGCGAAGGCTGCGGGCGCGGACGAGCCGTTTACGCTGCTGTCCACGCCTCTCCCTGGAGATGCGGCATCGAGCTTGTCGCTGGTTATCAAGCACGGCATGGACGGGTGTCAGTTCGTGTACGACGGAGAAGGGCAGGCGTGGAGGCATACCGCGACGTTCAACGTGCTCTCGTTCGTGCTCGCCTCGAAGCGCGACACTCGCTTCGTACACCATCTAGCTTCGAAAGCTGTCCTTGCGTTCGAGAGCGGCTCGAGGAACCTCGGGGGCAATGTATACATTTACCGGGGCCCCGCAAAGCGCACAGACAAGCATGCCAAGCAGGCGGTATTGAAAGTCGGCGATGGGGCAGGTGGTCCTCTGCTTGGAGTAGGTGTGGTGCTCACAAATGCAGGAAGAGAAGAAATTCTTTGCCTGTGCCAAAAGGAATTGGTGATAATACACAGTACATTATGAGGAAGGTACAAGTTCTATGCTCAATGTGGAGTTATCAAAAGATTCCCAGATACGAAGAACAGTTGGTATGCTACTACAAGCGCGGCATCATTGCAGGTCGTGAGCGTGAAGCATAATACGTGAAACAGCAACAATCCGGGCCAAACACGTGCGTGAGATGGACGGAGGAATGAATGCAGAAGGCGCGTAGCGAGGCATAGATAGAGCTAAGGTGTAGCCAGTACAACAAACAGAACCAGAAAGAGAACTGATGAGAGCAGAGGAAAGATCGTCCCGGAGACCAGAGAAGCGCATAAGTGACTACGTCTTGAACGGGCTCTCGCTCGCGTCCAGGAGCCCTTCGGATGTTGCAACTCCACTCGGTGCATCACCACCCGCAAATGCAGCAGCCCTCTGTGTCTGCGAGCCTCGATGAGCTATACAATTTTTCAATGAACACTAAACACGCACCTGTGCATCCGGGGGCAACGCCCGTATCTCAGCCGGCACAGCGTCGCCGTTGGGCTCTTTCGGTGGTGGTGGCGCCTCACCCTGGAGCTCACGGTCGCCTGATGACGACCCGTCTACATTCGTCCTGTGCTTCTTCGTCTGCCGCTCTTCCTCCTCGCGGTCGAGCTCGTCCAGCTGCGCTTTCAAGCTCTGCGTCGGATCGTGTTTCAAGCCCGTTTCGAGGTCCACATCCGAGCCAGGTGGCGTGTCCGTATCGCTGTCCTCGTCCTCGTCCTCGGCCGGTGTATTGAATAGGCTCTCAGGTCGGAGCAAAATCGTGACGCCGTTCGCCTGTTCTACACGTTGCGTTCCGGGGCCGGAAGGTTGGTCGTTGTTCTTTTCCTTGTCCTTCTCCGCCCAATACCGTTGGCGCTCTTCCCACGCAGCCATACGCCGACGGCTGCCCTCAATTCGGCTCTCGGAGTACAAGCGAGGAAGCTCAAGGGGCGTATAATAGCCATACCGTTGCTTGGCACGATCGGTGATCCACGCTTGCCATTCCTGCTTCGTACGGCCGTGCAAAAGCGCCACGATAAGGATAGTCATGTTGTCGCAGCCAATGCCTGCTCCACCGATGGTGTCTGGTGCCAGGCAGTGGTCGCAGATGATCTCGCAGATCTCGCCGAGGTCCTTGCCCTCCGAAATAAGGAAGCGTACAGCACTTGCCGCTTGCTGTGTGGTCAAGCAGTCCCAAATACCTGTCGCAGAACTTCAATCACGAGTCAAACTCAAGGCATACTTGACACACCATCGCACGCAACGATAATGAACTCATCATCCCCTGTGATCTTGTGCTCGGTAATCTCTGGATCACAGGTGATAATCTGATCTTCGGCAGGAATGTTGTTGTTGCGCTTGTAAGTGAAATCTCCGAGAGCTCGCGACAAAGAGAGGTTTCCTAAAAACAGGATTAGAACGTGAATATGTCCACAGCACGCGCTGAATTACCATTTACACGGCCGAATTCCACATATCCTCCAGCCGCCTGGATGCGCTTCTTCTCATCTATACTCGAGTCAGCACACCTTCCGGATCGGGAAAACACCTCCACTTACTGGCATTATCGGGTTTGTGGTCGTTGCTTAATGGCTTGCCCTCACCCCTTGTGCAGATGATAGCCCGCGAGTCTCCTGCGTTCGCCTGGCGAGCCGTCAGGCGCTAGCGCTGTATACGGAAAATAAATTCGTACGCACCACGAGGACACGACCATCGGATGTCACGAGAGCTGCCACAGCAGTACATCCAGAACTTTCCCGTTGCATAGCTGCGTCTGGAGCTCATTAGTCGATTAGGGAGATTTCATGCCGGTATATGACGTGTACAACACACCTTCCTTCATGTCTGCGTCTGTACCCAGGAACGCACTTTTCAGTGCATCAGAATAGCGGCCCTCCTTGTATGCCGGGTCGTTCACGAGCCGTTGATGCACATGCTGGCCCGCATACTTGGCCGTCGCCGCACCTGGACGCGTGTCTGAGCAAGGGGCAAGGCTGTGGAGAGCGAGACAGCACGAGACACGCACCGCCGTGGCCATCGTACACAGCAAAAGAAAGCATTTGCCTCGGGATCAGCCTTTTTCATATCAAGCTTGAGGACAGTCGCATGTGCGTCTTCCATGCCTAGAAAGAACGCAAGGAGCTGTCAGGAGACAAGCTATGCCTCCAAGCGTAGGAGCGTGCTTGCAGTGCAACTGCTCCTAGTACTTTGGTGGGGCATAGCGAGCTGAGTGAGCCGTTCTTGGGCACGGGGAAACGTACCTATGCGCCAGCCCTGCATTTCCGAGACACCGTAAGCGTACTTGCCATTGCAGCCTGTCTCTGTTGATTTCGCGGTGGCTGTGGGCAGACGTTAGTGGGAGATGTTTAGCAAACGGCCTGCGCGATATATGCAGGGTGCACTTACAAGGCGCGGAGAGTGTCTGGCCCTGCGCTTCAGTGTAAGACATACTCTAACGGAAGGAGGAGTTATACGAACCATTGTGACTCGCTGGTCTTCACTGACGCGGTACGCTTTGGCCGAATGATGATGGTTTGAAAACAAGAAGTAGATGAGCGCTGCTCCCCGAAGCTCGTTCTAGGTGTCGTATTGTTCGATACAGAAGGTGCTCGAGGGAATGGCAGAGCAGAAGGAGGAATATTTGGGTCGTGTGGTGGAAGTAGAGGACGAGTTGTTGGGTCCTGTTTGCGGAGCAAAAATGTCGATTTCCATTTAAGCGCCCAGCCTGCCCCGCAATCACGTACACGTAGGCCCAGGCCTGAGAAGGCCTGAAACCGCGCAGTCGGGAAGAGATCATTAGCGGTTTGCCACTGCTGCTGCAACACAGCAGGCAGATCAACAGTCTCGAACATCCTACACACATGCGAACGAACATCCAGAAGCATCAGCCAGGTCCGACCAACACATGCACCCTCCATCCGACCTTCATCTACGCCGCCCAGACGCACTTCGTGCACGTCCCGACGGTGGCCCGGGCGTGCGTCCTCGTTCCTCACGTTGCGGCGGATCGTCGTCCCCGGAGCCGTCTTCCTCTTGCACACGACCGTGTCGCGCCCTACTGCCGTTCTTCCCTCTGCCGCTTTTCTCCCCGCCACCCTGCCGCAGATCCCCTGCTTTGTCCCCTTCATCGCTATCAGCCATCGCCAGCCGGGCATCCCTGCGAAGCGAGGGACGATCTTCCGGGCCAAGCTTGAATGACACCTTCCTGCTGCGCGACGTGCTGCGCGGCGCCCTGCTCATTATGTCCCGCCCTGCCGCGTGACGCACAGGTGAAGACGCGGGAGAGGGTATCGGCGAGCTTGACGCAGGCGGCGACGTTGCAGATGAATACGCAGGATCGAATGTAAACGGATACGGGTGTCCGTGTCGCGACGTGTCATACCCCAAAGCCGGTGACAGTCTCGATGGACCGGCGACAGGTGAGCTTGATGGGTCTCGATGCGCTGTCCTGTGCTGACGGTTTGGCGTTTGTGGATGTACTACTTGCTGGGCGTGGCCGTATGGCACTGAATACGGAAGACCATACCCTGCTACGCTGCCGTTCGCAAAAAGATACGAGAGATAGTGCATTGCTTGTGCGATGTGCTGCACCTGTGGGTCCTGCAGCTGAAGTGCAGGTAGCGGTGGGGGATATCCCACAGGCGGACGCGACTTGCCCCGTCCGTGGCTTTGTGTGGGCGGGGCGGAGACGAGAAACGGATTAGGCGGAAAGACAGGTACAGCTGGTGGAGGAGTTTGGGCTGTCCTGGTGCGTGAACATGAACGAGTCTTATTGCCAGCGTCTCGATGATGCGTAGTACGCGGATCGGGACGATCGTTGTCTATGGTAGATACTGTGGTAAGCGCAAAGCAATATAAACCAAGCAAGGGAACCAGACGCACCGGAATGATCGTTGCGCTCTTGTTCTGCTTTGTCTTCCGTGCCGTTGTATGTGGCTCGAGGAGAAGTATGTGTATCTTCCTTCCCAAAAGTGGAACGGGGCTTTACAGGGAGCTCGATTTCTTCCTCAGAAGAACTGGGTGGCGCAGGTGTAACAGGCCGTTTACGCTTTTGACTCCTGCTAGTGGTGAGTGCAAGACGGCCGGCTTGGTCGCCCCGCTTTGTGTCCCGGATGGGCGAGGATGCGACAACATGTGCATGGTGCTCCCTTGCGGAGGCAGGTTCCGTCGAACTGGGGGCGAGGCTCTTTGCCCTACGCCTTCGAGGAGCGGGGATAGGCTCATCGTCAGAAAGATCAATGTCAAAGACAGAGGCTCGACCTTTCCCTTTGCCGCGTGATACTTGCGGAGGCGACAAAGGAAGCTTTGAACTGCGTCCTGTGTCTTGTCGTTCGATGTTCACAAACACTGAGGGTTCGGTCGAAGACCGAGCTATGCTCGGCCTGCTAGTGATCATGACCTCGGGGACACGTCCAGTTCTAGGCCCTGGGATTGCATCTTTCGCGCGTTTCTGGGCTGCCTTTGACGTACCAGCTGGTTTGCGATTGTTATTGCGCGTAGAGGGTGCCGGGGTCTTCGCTCCGTGAGAGACGGGAGTGCTAGGTCCTGCATCCGGCAGGGTTGTCCGGGACCGTGGACCTGATCGTTCTGAATGCGTAAAGACTCTGCTTAAACGATCCTCGCTGTCCAGACTAAGCTCTGGCGTGCTGCTGCTGGCTAAAGATAAAGGTGGAGTTCGCAACTGTGTGTTTCGGGACGCTAGCGGTCGTGTAGCAATCTTGGAAAGGGACGAAGGGGGCACGAAGATATCTTCCACGTCCTCGTCTAATATACTTGAAGTACTGGCTCTGGGTCGGAAAGGAGAGGAAGATGGCAGACGAACATGTCGCGCTCGTGACAATGATCTTTGGCGCAACAAAGGTGTGCCTGGTGAAGATGGAGGAGAAGGTGTTGTCAGGTCTATGATATTTGGACTTGGCGAAGGTGTCCGTGGCAGAGGTGTTTGCGGTCGCGATGCTTCTGACCGAGACGTCTGACGGCCAGGAGTTCGGCGCGGTGGCGTAGGCTCATCCGCTTCCGCCCTTGCGAACTCGTCTTCGGAGTCCGTCGGGCTCAGCGCACGAGCGATGGTTCCGACATGAACGCTTGGTGCTGGTGTACGACGCGGCGCCGGTGTGCGTCTTATTGGGGTTCTTCGGGAGTCCACCCGCACGACTCGTTCTGTCACCCAATCTGAATGTTCGTCTTCTTCGTCTGTTCCGAGTTCTACAAAGTCCTCGAAGTCCGTCGCGACATTCTCTGCTACCTCATCTTCATCTGGGTCGTCATCCACACCACCGATGGCCCTCCTCTGCTCCTCTTCCTCCAAGAAGGCTTTAAGGTCATCTGCGTCCGCAGGATTCATCTCCGTAAAAGGGGGAAGAACACGATTCGTCTTCTCCATCTCTAGCTTTATAGGCACCTTGGGCTCAGGCCGTGGCAGCGAATCGATCTCGTCTTCACCGTCCCTATCGTCCTCGCTCGAAGCATCTGCGTCGTCCGGAGTAGGGTCGCCAAAGTAGCCAATCCTGTAGCCCTTCTTTAGGCGGCGCGTAATGCCGCGATCCTTGACCAGCTTGACGGTTCGCAAATCGACGATATCGTCCTGGTCAAGGGGGACATTATACCTCTCGGCAAGTTGGGACCACACGCTAAGAAGCCGCTGAGAGGAGGCTCGCCATGCTTCATCACGAGTTGGATTTACGACTGGGGAAGTAGTCGATGTGTCGGTAGGGGTATGGGAGCCAGAGGGATCTGGAGAGGATGGAGGTTCGCTCGTCCGTGCGCGTTTGTTGGGAGGTGGCCGTGAGGTGGATTTTCGTCTTAATTTTGGCGAGGCAAGACGGAGAGAGGGAGGGGGAGAAACGGAAGGGGTTATCAAGGCATTTCTGGGTAGAACTGGCTGCTTGTCCGAGGAGAGAGACATGGCGAGTCCATGAACGTTGGGAACGCGACTGGTTCGGCGCGGTCAACCATTTCGGACTCCGCTGATTCACGCAGACGCGTAGTAGACCGACGCGACATTTCTCTTGCTATCATGTATTTCGCGTCTGAGTTCGACCTGCTGCTATCTTGGCGCAGTTCCTAGGAACGTTGAAAGTTGGACGCTGGACGCTGAAGATTATTGAAAGTCGCACGTCGAACGTTGTATGTTGAACGACAGTGTGTTGTAGTCGATGATCTCCGACGCAGTGCGTCTCCTTCTGCTCATGTCATTTCTAACACGCCCGCAGTGCGAGAACGAGACCAGCACTACCGAAAACATATGCTTCGTGAAAACTGCTTGCGCCCGTCGAAAATCGGATTCAGGAGGGCTGCATGAGCGTTGAGTTGGCTACCAAGGTAGTGCGTCGCAGCAAGATTAATCTCGTGCATATTGAAGCATGGGTAATCATCTTCACCCTATTACAATTCTCCAATGGTGGGTCGAGAGTCTGGAACCGAGACTAACCTCACCATTATATGATAAGCATCAAGTTTATGGTTCTTTTATATTTATACAGTATGTATATGAACGATGGGCACACCTGGCTAGTACGTCCAGAGTCTTGACCCCGCTCAAGCCCCAGTGCTTGCGGCGATGACGTCGTCATGACAGTACCTCACCGAAACTGGAGCGTATCACCCTCATCCTCACCCTCATCCTCATAATCGAAATCATCCTCGTATTCGTCCTCGTCGGTCCAATCCTCGTCGTAATCGTCCTCTATGATATCCTCCTCGTCGACGCCCTCTAGATCGAGCAGGTCGTCAACATCGTCAACGTCCTCATCGTCAGAGCCCTCAAATCGCTCAAACACCTCAAGATTCTCTTTCAGCCACACCCGGTCTTCGTCCCAGAGACGTTCCTCCTTGTTGAGATATAGCTCTTTGAGTGGTCTGCCCATGTCCTTGCAGCGTTGGACGAGGTCTCGCACGCTCGACCCGTCGAGAGCAGTGACGGAGAGCGTCTCAAGCCGCGGAAAAAATGTTGTCCCCGGTGGAAGATTCGCGTCCGCAATCGCGTCGGGTGCAGAGATGAGATCCATCCAGAGGTAGTCGACGTGGTTGAAGTTGATTTCCAGCCGTTTCAGGTTCTGTAGTGCGTCTGCCGCTTTGACGAGCGTGGGGATGTGCGAACACGGCAGGCCGGACAGCTTGAGCATCTCGACACCCGAGAGCAGGGCTTTTCTCGTGCCTGTCGCGGGCTCGGAGAGTCGGGTGACAACGGAAGTGTATTCGTCTTGCTCAAAATCCAGAGCGAGTGATATGATGTTCGGCAGGCGGATGTGGTCTAGTAGTGCGAGCACATAGTCTGGCGGAAGGAATGCAAGGATGAGATTCATGACGGAAGGAAGGGTGATGTCAAGTAGCGAGCCTGAGGGGATAGTCTCTGTAACTTGGTCGACGTCCGCCATGGCCTCCTTGACGCTATTCAACCAGTCCACAGGCATACCTGCCGGCCCTGATTGACATAGGGTAAGGGTATGCAGGTTCGGCGAGTTCTTAAGCGTGCGCAAAAACTCATGGTAAGTTGGGCGGACGTCCAACGCGTGATACGCAAACCCGATGTCTTCCAGTCCTGACAAGAACGTCGTCTTCGGCCAGTTGACATGCACACCCCAGAGCGCGACCTGTTTCAATCTTGGTAGGTCGTTCTGGAATAGCACGAAGTCTTGGTCTTTGTATTTCTCGGGAATGAACTTCTCGTATTCGTCGGAGTCTTCATAGTGATAGAGCTCCAGAGCTTCAAGGATGGGCGCACCTGAACATAATGCAAAGACCCGGAGCGCATGCTGCATGAGGAGATAGTGCGATACCATCAGTTCGAACGTCTTCCACTGCTCCACATATGGCTTTAGCAGCTCGAGCACGTCCCGGAGGGCCGTAAGCTGAGGCTTATCCGCCACAAACTCTTCGTCGTTCCAGTCGTCTTCTTCCCCCTCCCCCTCCTCCTCCTCCTCCTCTATGGTGCAGTCTATCGAGACCCTCAGCGGAGCGCCCTTTGCACGCCGAATATATTCTCGGGCCTTCTCCAGGTTGAACGGGTCCTCGAAGACAATATTCGACCATAGCGTAGGTGTCTCAATCGCGACTTCGCGCCACCGCTTGCATACGCGCGAAACCAGAAGCTCGAAGGATAGATGACGCTCGAAGTCAGAACCATAAGATACTTCCGAACCGTCGTCCGGCTCAGAACCGGAGTCGAGTTCGGAGAGGCTGCCGTCAGTGTAGTCTTCGTCCTCGTCCTCGTCGTCCTCTGCTGAAGAATGAGTCTCAGATTCACCGCCAAGACCGAAGATCTGAGAGAGTAGTTCAGTCGGGAGGTCGTTGATCAGACAGCGGCCATCGGCAGGTGCGAAGTACGGGTTGTTGTTTATGTCGATGTTGTCGGGAAGAGACGCGTTGGTCATGGTGTTGCTGACGTGCACGAAGACACTGAGGATGTAGATTAGGTTGCTTCCTTGAAGCAGACTGGTGGCTCACGTACCCTGAGTGTTGTTCCAGTGCCCTGCGGCTAGCTCTCAACGATGATAGTGACCCAGCGCAAACCGGCGAGGTACACGGGAGTATCGTATGTCGTGATTGTGGATAAGCACTACCGCTAAACGGTGAATACGTCCAGCTGTTCCTTGTTTAGGGATATGTTGTAACAAGCCGCAAAGGAATTTCCTAGACGCCATCCGGCATTCCCCGAGATAACGATCTGCGCAAGTCGTCATCTGTGGCCAGCAGGGCGCTGCTGCTTCGCAGACTAAGTAGACGACATAAAAATACAAGAAACTGCTCGAAAATTCTTTTCAAAATAGAACCGAAAAATGACGTGTATTGCGAATTTCATTGTAAACAAGATGCTGGCGAATTACATGCATCTCTGACAAGAACATAAATGCACCATGGACATGTTAGGGCTTACGGTTACTGTTGCCGGGCACAAGCTGCCGACCCAGGAACCAGGTGTAGGAAGGCTGCCATTACTTATTCGATAGATCAGAGGCCTGAGGGGGAGATGTAGCTGAATTCCATAACAGCGGTGGGTAAGTGGGAGACAAGAGGACTGTGCGTGCGTGACAAGTCGGTGAGATCCACTTATTGACTTGCAGGCGCTGACAATTTTCATAGAAGAGGCTGCACGTTTGCAGGAAATTTTGAGCTATTTTCAACGCGATGGGGGTGATGGGCGATAAAGTGGAAACAATGCACGACGAACCTTGTTCTAAATTCGTGGACAGCCTAGACCCAAGGCCTGCGAGTCTTTGTACTAGGCTGAAGCGCTGTCACAAGGGCAGCTTAGTTTTTGCGACTCGCTTGGCTCGAAGGCCTAGGAGCCGGCCCTGTTCGTACGGGAAGCACTTAAGGTATCATGTAGTCAAGAGTACAGGTGACTGAGAATAATATTGGGCTGCTGCATCTGTCATTCTCTGCATTTGTATCTAGCATCTCGGACGGCAATATATGGCGTGGCGTGGCAACGCGCCCGTGCTTGCCGTTGTCTTCGTCAGGGTCGGAAGGTTGCTCTTTGTACGCGGTTGGTCAGGGCGACGGAGTCAATGACTGCGCAGCGGAGGCCGTGTCTTACATAATCAGCCTGATCTTCCGCAGAAGACTGGGCCGCCGATCTTCCTCTCCCAGACTTGTTCCTAGAGTATTCCTGTTCGGGGCGCTGCCCTCGAGACAAATCTCCGTCATCCCGTCGCCTCACACCTTCATGTTCCTCGACCGCCATGTCGAGCTCAAGCTCTTCGTCGCCATCGACGATGTCCGCGGTCTCTAGCCCGTCTGCATCTCCGACAAGCAGCAACAATGGTGGCGGCTTTTCTCCGCCCTCCTCCACGCTATACCTGTGCGTTCCTCTATCCCGCATCTCGCCGGCCCAGTTCGCACTGACGCATGTCATTCTGGTTCAGTCTCACATTCCTAGCAACTCTCTTCGTCCTCCTATTTGTCTCGTGTGCCATCGTCCTCCGCTCCTTTTTCATTCGCCGCCGCTTCCGCCAGCAGGTCGAGGAGCAAATCGCAGCAGGACTGCTTCCACCGGAGGCCGCGTTCAATATAGGAAGGAAAGACGTTGGAGAGAAGCCCAAGATGTGGGATGTCAGCGCGGAGCCAACGCAGTTTGTGGGCGACTGGGACTCGTTTTCGGTAAGTACCCTGCCTTCGGGCTCGTTGGTAACCCCACGATGGAGACCACGTCAGATCTCTTCCTTTGCTGAACTCCTTGTTTAGCCCATGTCTGCGAAAAACATCGCCAATAGCGACGCGAATAACGACCATCATGACACTCGCTCCTCCCTCGACCAGCCACCACTCACTGCCTTCACACGCCTGCTTCGCCGACGCCGTGCACCGTCCGAATTCCGTCTGGCACACCCGTGCCTGACGTATCAGATTCGCTTGACGGTTCGGAGATGCAAGTTGCAGTGCTGGTGGCTATGCCCACGTCTCGGAAGCCGCGCGACGGTATACCAGAGATGGTCATCGGTGTTTCCAAGATACCTCTCCAGAACAATTGAGGAGGTACCTAATTTCGCCATACTCTGGTACTGCTGTTTCGTTGCATTAACTCTTCTACGACACCTCTCAACTAATAGTACATAGCCGCATGTGTACATTATCATACTGGGCTCCGAGACATTGTAACAGTAATTAATAACAGGACTATCGGCATCTTATGGTCTTTAAGGCATGCTGGCCCTTTCTGAGGTCATCCCACCTGCCCAATGCTAGGAGGCGGTGCTCCAACTCGCGTAGCAGACTCCAATTCCGTTAACTAGTGGACGCTCTAGACTACCGGCGCTCTAACATAGTCTAAATGACGCTTTAATGTACACATAATAGGAACTCATAAATAACTCAGTTTCTCCCGGTGATCATCCGAAAAAGGCCTGAGGAGATTCGCTTCAGAGCGTCACGGCTCTCCCAGATGGGCAGAATGATACAGCAGAAACCGGCGAAGAAGGACCAAACCTGCCCGAGACCGATCAGCCTTTCGCACAGGTGACGGAGCTCCGCGCGGGATACTCACCATGGCTACAACGATGTAGGCGGTGAAGAAGCCGGGCGAGAATATATACGTGCTGCTCCCGAGGGGGATGGGAACAAGAACCGCGATGATGACGATGATGGCCGTCGACTGCCAGAAGGCGCGCTTCGCGTCTGCGGGCAAGAGATCCCAATCGTTCGGATGCGGGTTCGCGTACGCGTCGTGCTGCTCGACAGAGGGCGCCACGCTCGAGCCCGGCGGCGTAGCCTTCTCGTCGATGGAGACGTCCGCGTCCTTCTTGTCGTCACTGGGTGAGGCCGCGACGACCACGACCTGGGCGTCGATACTCTCCTCATCGCTCACGTCATCGCTCTTCTGGATGAGTTTGACTGGCGTGCGGAAGTCAGCACAGCTGTTAGCTACACACGAGGCAACCAGCACCACTCACTCGCCCGCGTTGCGTGGAAGTCGTAGTTGTCGGGCTTGATAAGACTCACGACGACGGCAATAATCGCGCCCGAGCCCATGCTCGTCAGGCTGCCCGCGAGCGACGAGTAGTTATCGACCAACAGCGTCGTGTTGATCGCGCCGTAGAAGTAGCGGCAGACGATGAGCCATGCCATAAGCCCCAGGAACGTGCCGCCGCTGCTCGCTAGCACGGCCGCGTTCGACAGCTTCGGCCAGAGCACGACCAGCATGATGGGGATGACGGGCGCGCCGATGACGGTGCCGCAGAAATCTGTGGAGGGCCGAGCGATGAGGATGAGGATAGGTGTGGAGGGTTGAAGAGGCACTCACAGTAGACGAAGTTCATGTTGACGTTGCCTGCATTGAGGATGACGCACCAGACCGAGATCCAGATGCCCCATACAGCGACACCCGCGTGGGCGACACGGAGGAGCTCGCGGGCACTAGCCTTGGGCCTCCAGTACGTCTGTCGAAAACCTTAAGTCAAGCTCCAGCTTGCTATGGTTCGCTAGCACTCACTCTGTATACATCATACGTGAAAATTGAGGAAACTGAGATGAGTTGCGCTGAAGCAGCCGAAGTAACCGCCATGTACGTGATGATGAGCATCGCAATGGCCCCGGAGCGACCGAGCAGCGTGACTGCGGCAGCGGGGGCCACCAAGCCCGCGCCTTGTTGGTCCGCGCTGAGCGGTTGCGGGTATGTCGGGAAGGCAGGGTTCGTCTGTAAGGCGCGCGCGCAGAGACCCATGGTTGTGCCAAATGCAAGCGGGACGCTGAACCAGGAAAGGCCACCCCACACGTATGCCTTAGTTGTGCCCCGCGGGTTGGATGCGATGGCCCGCTGCCAGTAGGATTGGTCTAGGAAGACGGTCGCCGTGCCGAGGACAAAAGAGATGGCAGCATCTGTCGTAGTGGCAACTGTTAGCACGTGTACAGTTAGGAATGTGTCGCATTTGCTCACATATAAAGCCTGACTTGGAGTGGAAAGTCAGGTAAGAGCCCTGCCAGTTGCCCGGGACGGGGTCAATCTCGCCAGCCTTGACGAGCAGGTCATAGAGCGCAGAAGGCGAACCGATCAGGTCCGATGTGCCAAAGGCCTGCAGATAGCGGTCAGCGACTCTACAACGCCTGAAGAAAAGGCAACAACATACCGTATAAACGAAAAGCCAGATGATCACAAACACGATGGTCGTGTGGGCATAGTCGGAGACGAAAGTGCTCCGGAGGCCACCAACAATGACGAAAGCAATGACACCGACAGGCAGTAACATGGTCGCAGCCCGGATATCCATGCCTGTCAAGGCAGAGATAGAAGCGCTACCTCCGAGGAGAAGGATAGCAGAGACCATAAGCGACGTGAAGATGGCGTAAAACTGGATTGTCGCTCAATGAGGCACAGTTGGACGACTGAGGAGAGCGACTGACCAGGAACATCAGGTGTGCCGGCGTACCGAAGCGCGCCCTGACAATCTCCAAGAATGTCCTCGCACCATTTGCGTTCCTCTTGACGGCAGACGCAATGACGGAAAAGAAGATAATCGAAACACTGCATTCTGGTGAGTGCAACGCGAAATAGCTGTGCTTAAGAGCAGCTTACGTTCCACACACGCCATACCACCAACCGCCGGAGATACCGAATTGATAGACAACGAGAGAGGAGACCATGAGGGTGGCGCTCCATGTCCAAGCCGAGACCTTAACAAAGATATATCAGCCTTGTGCTCGATAAAATCGGAGTATACTCACGATTCCGGAACAGACGAGACCAGGCTTCACGCTTCTGCTCGCACTAGAGAATTCTTCATCTGTTGATGGCGACGACTGTCAGTGAAATCGAGCCGATGTGTGCCAGGAGCAAGCAAACTCACTCTCGAACGGAGATGTGTCGGTGAACTTTGCTTGGAGCCAACTGAGTAGGAGCATGAACAGGGCAAAGCCCGACCCGCCACCAAGGATGATGGCATATCCAGACGACTGGGGCAGGTACGCGTCGAACTCGCCGTTCGCCATGACTGTAGTTCACGCAGAATTTGGCAAGGGCACTGCCTGCAAAGTTTGACGCCATATATACTAGTGCTCGCTGCCGTTATCTAACCGGACCGATAAGGGAACGTGTGAAGGGGTATTGGTGTTATGGAAAATCTGGGACCCTGGCATTCCGACCATTCCGTTTTGTGGAGGAGGTGGAGATAAAGAGATAAGGTACTTGCGCATTGTTTATCAGAGATAGCTTGTTGTCAAGGCTCTTTTTCTCCGAGTTTGGATTGGTATAGGAGACACCGTGCTGAAACGGGGTCGAACAAGGTTGAGTTCGTTAGATAGCAGCGCATAGCGAAAATGAACGGCCAGTCAGGACTTCATTTTCATTGTGTATTTGGGTCGCGCACAAAAAGGTCGTACCCGCCACCAGGGTCACGCGACATTGCTTCCTGCGTGATGCCGTAAGAGGTCCGAAGGTCTTGACGATCAATGTTCAGTAGCGCAATGCGTGTGCGCGGTACAGAGAGCACGTCTCTGAATGTGTCAGAGCGTACTCTTGCGGATCTGAAAGCCTATCTCTGCTGTCGATCTAAGGGAGAACCAGCAGGCGCGAATGTGTCTCAGCTCGTTCCAGGGTCCTAAGGCGCTGGCAGAGCCCGCCATCACGAGTTGCGTCACAAAGAAGCCGCAAGAGATGCAGCAGTTCGCATACGGTGTGGGGTAGATAAATCGTGGGAACGTAACACGGCCCTGGGCACCACTGCGAATCGAGAGATTAGCATTATACCCGGCCGAAACAATACTGCACCGCTCGATATCAATGTCGAGTTTGGGTTGAGGCCCGGAAATACTGGCCTGCAAAGACGAGACAAGCGTGCCGAGTTAGAGAGCCAGGAGTGCAAGCCTCCTACTCTTACTCTCAGAAGAGACGCAATACCACGACGGTCCCGTTGCGATGGGTTCTGGATCTGAGCAACGGACGGAAGCGCACTGGGCGATCATGGCCTTGTGGCGCTCAGCGCTTGTTGGTCGGTCCTCGGTCTCGATCATCCCATGCATCAACTATCCTTCGCAGAGCAGGGAGACGTCGACATCGAAGAATATATAATTCGCAAGTCCGCCGGCAGCACAGCATGCTGTCATTGGCAGCCGCAACACAAACCAGTCCTGTCGTAATATACTCTCGAAGCCCAGGCTGCACGTCCACAGAAGGTGCGCGGTGTGTTCGCTTCAGCATTGCCTCATATATGTCCTAGAGGAGTCTGAGATCGAAGGAGGCAACAGGGTGTCGACCGTGCTTACATATCACAAATTGCTGAGAAAGAGTCCCGCGAAGAAAAGACCTTAAAGCTCAAGACGTCCCCCATGGTGGGTCCATAACCCCTCCATTGTAGGCGGGCGGCCCGCCACGAATCTCCCCCAATTCATGACTGCTGGGAGGGGACTGGGTACACCACCAGCATCCGGCGCGACGCTCGCGATAGGAGTTGATGCCAGGGAGGATGGCCCGTAGGAGACCGCTGGCGGTAGTGGACGTGCGATAATAGCCCGGCAGCATAGAATGAGTGAGTGCAGAATGAAGCAACATAGGTTCTCTTTTCGAAAGCTATCTGCGATACAAAGGTCAGTGCTGTACAAGGTACGTCTAAAGCCATTGTAGATCTCACACAGGGAGATAGAGGCCAGCTCTTGCGTAGATAGCTACTTGCGCGTGCATGCTTATACCTGAAAGGAGCGCCGTAGTTACGCCAGGCCGTCGTTCTCTAACAACAATACGAGAACCATACCAATGATCATCTGCTTCAGACCAGAATTATGGCTGGCGGCTCGCCTTTACGAAACAAAATCATCATGATTGCAGTGATGCCAGGAAAGCGCAGGTCCAGCGAGGCACGGCGGCCTCGGACTCGGGGAGAGTGAACAGTGAGATTAGATGCAGGTCACAGCTGGAAAGGATGCGAGGAGCTTGCGGTATGCCATGTGTGAGTAGGGCGGGAGGGTGGACAGGAGGAAAGAGCGCGGGTTTCGGCACAGATCGGTTTGATGAGGTTGAACATTGTGGCGTCCCGACGTCGGGGCGGATCACGTCGGTCGATCACCCGCCGACGGGTGATTTCTGACTTCTAAGCCGAAAACACTCGTGACTCTTGCGAGGTGCTTCACATAAATCGATTTTGCGGACATCACGTGGAGGCAAAGAACACTCTTGTGCGGCCTTGTATCTCCGATAGATGCCGCGCGCCCCGGGATTACGACACTTGCCCTGTGTCAAGTCGCGACCAGGTTCCGAGACAAAGCACGTTGTCTTGAGACCGTACTCTGACAAAGTGAAGACAGCATGAGCAGTTCAAAGTATCGAGACGCATGCGTCGTTGGGATTGTGTGCTGTGTCACGGTCCTCAGTGTGAGTACTTATTCCTCGCTTCGAGGTCTTCAAGAAGCTGAAGATTTTAACTCGCGCCAGGTATTCTCAAGTGGTGCTACGAGCGTCGCAATCACTACTATAGGTCGAGATCTAGGCTTCTCACAGGAGGATCTGCAATAGCCTCTAAACGTCTTCTCGTAAGAGATTACTGTGGCAATAGCTACTTGAAATCATTAACGAAGCTCCCCACGTCAGGCTGTCTTATGGGTGCTTTCTCCTACTTTGTGGTAGGATGGCAGACATATGGGGCAGCAAGAGGATGTTCCTCTTTGGGTCTGCATGGTTCAGCGTGTGGTAGGAAAGCCGGCTGTCCTCGTCTGACATTGTGCCTAATACAGAGTGTCCTCTAGGAGTGTCGCGACTGCATTCGCCAAGAATCCTCCAGCTTTTATTGTGTTCATGGCACTCCAGGGCATCGGCTCTGGTGTGTGCCATTCTTTCCTCTTCTAGTGCCGATGCTAACACAGCCCGGAAGCCGCGAACACTCCAGCAGGTGCACCGTAAATGATTCTTCGATGAGTTCTTCCTTCTGACAGATTCCGCATAGGCATCAGCATCATATCCTCATACTTTGAAGCAGGAAAGAAAAAGAACAGGGCCTTTGCCTTCTTGAGCACTGGGCAGCCTATCGGCTTCATCATTGGTATGATCCTTGGTGGTTTTCTGTCTGAGTCTACCGTGTCGTGGCGGACAATCTTCTGGTTGCAAGCTGGGCTGGGCGCCGTCCTCTGCATGTTGGGATGGTTCATTCTCCCAAAAGACGACATAACTCAGAGGTACAGCATAGGTCTGGACTGGATCGGTGCCATCCTCGGTACCACAGGTATCGGCATGCTTGTCTCAGACTTGGCGTACGCAATCGTCCCTATCTCTATGCACACCAGTGCTTACTATATGCCTTCCAGGGAATCTACCGCAAAACCCAAGGGCTGGGCGTCGCCCTTCATCCCGTCCCTCCTCGGCACGTCCGTCCTGCTCCTCATCTCTTTTGTGCTATGGGAACTGCGCCGCGAGGCGAAGGGGCAGTCTGTACTCCTTCCCATGAGCATGTGGACTCAGCCCGGGACAAAGATGGCTCCTGTAATCCTTCTCGTCTTCTTCAGCTGGTGGGGTTTCAATACCCTTAGTTACTATATACCCCTGTTCTTTCAACAAGTGCAAGGCTTATCCCCGCTTCAAACGGTCCTTCGCCTCGTGCCCATGGGCATCTCCGTATGTTCCCGGCAAGCTCAGTTGGATATCACATTACTGAACAACAAGGCAGGGTCTTACTATTAACATCACGATCGGTTATCTCATCAGCATGGTCCCAGGGCAGATTTTAGTCGTGGCAGGCCTCGTCTGTGCCATGGTCAGTCTCGATCCCACATGCACTAGACCGCGATTACTCACACCCGGGCAGGCGTCCTCCATTAATTTTGCCCTGGTGGATGTCGACGCCACGTACTGGTCTATGCTATTCCCTTGTAGTGTCCTTCTCCCTATCCTCGATGTCGCCTACACGGTGGCGAACATCCAGGTGTGCTCGAGCTTCCCCGCCCACTCGCAAGCGCTAGCGGGGAGCATCTTCAACGTCGCAACCCGCGTAAGCCCTCCTTTCTCTTCTTCTCATCCATCCTTACCGGTGTCCCGCAGCTCGGAACCTCCATCGGTCTAGGCGTGACGTCGACCGTCGCGATGTCAGTGTCGACCAAGTTCAACCACAAGCACCCGGAGCTGGCGCCCAGAGACCCGGCAGTCCTTATGGCTGGTTTCCGGGTGGCGGGTTGGATCTGTTGCGGTACAATTGCGATTGGGATCGCGATTTCCATCGTGGGCATGAGGGGAATTGGGCTTGTTGGACAGCGACCTCCATCTCCCGTGGAGAAGCCCGAAGAGCACGACATCGAGATGGTCGACACCCAGCATGCGAACGAAGCTACATGTAGAGATGTGGAGGTGCGGTCTTCCCACTCCAACACATCCAAGGGGCAGAGGATCGAGTTTCAAATTCCAGAGGCAACAACGTCTACTTAGGGCATGCGATCTGATCAAATTAGAGTCATGATACATCTAGTACATGATCATTATCAACTTTCGCGGCACAACGAACAATACATGATACGAAAACATGATACGAAAGAATACAAGCTGATAGCAGACGACAAAGCAAGTTTCCAGCACGACAACTGTGCATCTCAGCCAGAAGATGCGCAGGATGGGACCCGGCCTGTCCACAGAACCGAGCGAGAACAAAACAGAGGCCAACCCGGCTTGCAAACTATATCGCACGGGCAGCACCGGTGGGAGGAGATGAGAGAAACACAGAAAGTGAAAATGCGACTCTAGTTCGCGGTAGGGGCACTGGAGGAGGAGGAGGACGCGAAGGCCGTGAAGGCATTGTAGTTGTACGTCTGGGGGTTCGGATCAAAGGTGTATCCCTGGGGACGGAGGTCGATGACGGTCTGGCCACCTCGCTGGAGCACGCCGCGCATGTACCCGCCGGGCGTGAGGTCCATCTGGAGCTTGTTCACGCCCGCCTGGACCTGGAACGTCTGCGAGCTGCTGTCGCTCGTGTACAGCGTGACGCTGCCGGGCGCGGTTGCGAAAACGACGGCCCAGAGCACGTCCTGGTCGAGCTGGTAGTTGTCTGGCTTGCCGACTGGGTCCGGGGCGTTCGCGGAGCTGGGGTGCGGGCGCGCCCACATGTACAGCTTGTCCTCTGTGACCGCGGGGTAGGCCCCGGTCTTGAAGCCCGTCGCGAAGTAGCTGGTCATGTCGAGCCACGCGGTGTGGTCGAAGCCGTTGACCCACGCTTGCGAGTTCGGCTGCGCGCCATGGATAGGGCCAATGTAGTGCGACTCGCCAAAGTCGTTCCAGGTGCAGATCTCGATGATGTCGTACATGTCGCGGCTCTGGAAGATATTGTCCCAGCGTGTAGGGTACAGCTGCGAGCCAGCGTAATAGATCCAGTTCTTGTTGTAGGTGTCAGGGCCGTAGTGCGTGAAGAACCATGGACTGACGGCGCCGATGTAAGTTGGCGACCCGTTGTCCGAGCTGAGCGATTTCAGGGCGTTGAAGTATTGGGTATCGGTGTCAGTCGCACCAACGAACTGGGCGAGGGCATTGATGACGGACGCAACGCCCTGAGAGACAAGGGAAGTGAGACTATCGCCAAGGGGGTTGAGATCAGACTGCGCGCTTTGAGCAGTCAATGATATTGGCCAGCCGGAGTTCCACTATATATCCATCAGCAATCCGACTATCGCGTTTCAGGTGTCGGAGCAACTTACGTTGAAGATGCCATGGACGGCACCGGAAAGACCGCCGAAGCCCGAGGGGTCGCTGAAGAACGCAGGCACGAAGTGAACACCACCGGCATTGACAACATCGGGATGCTGGGTGAACTGGGCAGTCCAGCCATCGACCACAGAGTCTTGGCCGAATTGGCAGGTATCACCGGCAAACGTGGAAGCGAAAGTGCGGCCGTTATACTTGAACTGGTTCGGGTGATTCGCATACTGCGAGATGTAGTTGCGGAGAGTGCCAGCTGCGTCGGAAGAGTCGCATGGAAGGACACTAACGCAGGTTTTAGTTCCGACAGAACTGAGTGTGTTCATCAGACACCCACCTCATATCAAACGAGATGAACAACAGGAAGCCTGTGCCAGATTGTTGGGCCGCGGCATAGCTGCAAATGGGTGAGGATCCAGCAACGAACGATCGGGGGAATACATACGCAGAAGCAACCTGGGTCGGTTGCCAGGAGTCTGAACCAATGTTCAGAGCGAAAGCGTCGATACCGGCTGCGTGCGCTTGGGTGATATCACTCTGCCAGTCGTCCTGGGTATAAGGGTACGTGTTGCCGACCATATGGTGAGCAACAACGTATTTCGGAGTACCGTCCTTCTTCATGAGGCGACGACGGTGGTGAAAAGGACTATGAGGAAGTGCCTGCACAAGCGAGGAAACGACCAGACCGAACAAGAAAACGAGTGTGAAGGAGTACATAATTCGTCGATTAGTAAAAAAGAAGAGATCGTGGGGGAGAAAGGAATGTGGTGGTCGGGTCGACCGAGGCGGGGACGATGGCAAGCGTGAACGTCGTGGTTATCGTAAGAGACTTTATAGTTCGGGGAAGGAACAAATAAAAACTGACCGTTAATCAACAACGGCAATCGAACTCCAGCGAACCTTGCTGTTGCCCAAATTTGGACAAGAATAGGTACCTCATCTGAGCGCCCATGGTAGTTGCCATGGCGCCCGACGACAAGTAGATGCGAAGCTTCGACGCGATGGCGGCCCCGCCAGGCACTGGTACGCTTTGCACACGGTCAAAGCGCCGCGTTTCGACTGTGTGTCTATGTCGCTGGGGGCAGACATTTATCGCGTAGTAATTGGACTGGGGGCCTGCGGACCTTGGCAGAATGGCTGCGTCGTTCTCAAGATATGACACCGCTGGACGACATGCGGCTGCCGAACCGCATGGTCCTGGACGGGCATCTCGACCGCCAGCGGTGTTAAATTTCCATAGCTGTCGCCCAGACTTGATATTGCCCAGAATCACCCTTTGCAAAGAGCATGCCGTAACAGGAGATCAAGGCGTGTCAACAAACAAGCAGACTGTTGTTCAACAAGAACAATAAACTTGTCAATAGATTGAATAACGACGGACGGCGCTACAGGAGCACATTAGGGGGCGGGATTCCCACGGCTGCTTGACCTCGATTAGGCAGGTGTGAACTGATAAGGCGTTCCGGCCGGGGCGGGCCGAGTGTCGTAAAGCGTCGCGTCGTGGACGACTTATCGACGGCCATCGACGACTTCAACTTTCATCTCTTACATAACTTATGCCCTGTTTCTATTCGCATACGCCGTCCGCAATCTTACTTTAAATCTCACACGAGGACTCCGTCCGCCCCCTTCGTTAGGTCTTCCGCTTCGTCCATCATCTCTCTTCTCGACAGTGACTCCGGCCGCGGCGCAATGGCAAATCGACCCCGTTCTCTCAGCACCGGCGACGCCATGCGCATCCGGTCTCTCTTTCCCCGCACAGGCCTGATTCAGCCTCAACGCCAGCCGTTGCAGCCCGAGCGGGTCAGAGAGTGAGCCATCCCGCCTTCAGATGTCCCAGATGTTAACACCAACGGCCAGAGCGATAGAGGCCTTCATCTCGTCCTTACCCAAGCTGTCGGAGCATGATCTGATCTCATTCAACGAGGCTGGTACGTCCCATCCGTCAAAGTGCATGGGATGAACGGCCAAGTAGCAACTGATCTCTCCGGCGTAGAGTCGTCTTGTCCAATATGTCTCAACCAGTTCCGCACGATAGTCACGGAAGAGGAAATGGCACTCGCGATGGACAGCCCTGCGACACCTGTACAAGCGCTTGGGGTGACGAAGCTCCACGGCTGCGGGCACATATTCTGCAGGAAGGAGTTGAGTGACGATATCTTGACCATGGACATTACTTTCTAACGGCGTTCCTAGCATACTGAACTGGCTTGACCAAGGGGTACGCTGCACATCTTCGTGTTGGGCTTGCGTTGCCAGCTCTCGCGCATGTCGAAACGTTCGCTCACAACAGTTCTTTGACACGTAGCGCAACACCTGTCCCTCGTGCCGGCACCCCCTCATTCCAAACCTTCCCGCGGACACCCATCCCTTCGACATGCTGCCTGATCTTGAGAACATACCGGACGGCATCATCCAGGGTGTGGGGTCCCTGCCCCTCACGCCCGAGCAAGCCGCGTCCTTGCGGTCTGCGATCATTCTTCTGACAGAGGGCGACGGCATGGAGCATTTTGCCTTCCCTGAACCTGCCTTCCACGCCGCGCGAGGCAACCAGCCAACTCCGCACGAGCGCGAGCGCGAAGAGGACAGAAGCGCCTTCATTGGGATGTACTCCTAATCCGGAAAACATCAGGACCCTCGTTCTTTCCGTATGCCACGCTTTCGGTCACGACCAATTCACGAGGATTCAAATTCATGCATTCACGTTCGTCAGTCCCCATCGCACTACTCATTCTTCGCTTTCATGGGCTACATATTTGGATGTATATTATGCAGATTTCTCATCATTGCATGGATATTCCTTACTAATTCAATCAAATCGTGAACGGAATGTGTTGTATAACGCGTCGAGCATCAGTCAGTCTCGTCCGGCGTTAGGTGCTGATGTCTAGCGAGAGCGACCGGTGCTCGCTACTGCTTGCTGCAGCCAGGCTGGTCGGCAGCACCCCCATACGAATGGAATCATATGCTGCGACCTGCTGCGGCTTCTGCCCAGGTTTCCCATGAAACCTCTCCGACGGCCCAGGTAGGAAATGCAATGGATGAGGATATAGCCTATCGCTATATATAACATATATTAAAGCCACTCCACAGTGCGATGCAGTAAGAGCGATTAATTAATCATGCTGGAGCGCTCGCCTCTGACACTTGAGCTTGAGCCGTTCCCTGCGCAGGCCGTGAATCCAGCCTGATCTTCGATAGGCACGCCCTTCCCAGTGGTGGGTCCGGAAATTCAAGGTCAAGTGCAGGGTCAGCCAAGAGTTACTTAAAGCCATCTGACGAGACTCAAGAGATTGGGAGCCACGTCTAAGGACATACCAGTAAGTCTTCGGCACTCCCGCAGACTATTGACTGTACATCATCTTAATGTGGTGGCATAGCAAGGGATCTCCCTGTGCCTGGGGACGATCACGAAAAATATGACCCTTGTCATCCGTGTCTGTCTTCAAGGGTGGCTTACCTTAGTCGTCAGGGTGATGGACCAAAGCAACCGCAACAAAGGCGCAAGACACTGCGCCACAAAGCGGGCGCTCATCAGAATATCAGCGATGCAAAATCTTGCCCAGTACAATCTCTGCCTTTACGACCTCCACGATGATCAATATTTGTTCTGTGCTTCAACGCGCGTGTCCATACCTTACATCGATTTTTGCTTTAATCTGCCCTCCGAGTGCGTAAACTCGATCTTCACATCTTGCTCGCGGCACTTTCCGGGTCTTCGACGACTCCTGCCTACAAACTGGAAGCGATAAACCGGGCCCGCTTTTCACGTGAGCTGGATCTGTTTGTTGTCGTTAAACAGGACGCGACGCGCACTGGCACTATAAATCCTCGTCCGAACCGTCGTCTGGTTGTCCGCCCCCGCCCTCAGCACCTCCAGCCCTTCGCCCCCCCTCTCTCCCGCATACCCGTCTCCAACATGATTGCTCTCTTTGCACCCTCCTACAGTGCACAGCCGCCTCGGCGCGCGCAGCATCTGAAGCATCCTCCCATTTACCAAGCCTACCCTGCCGACAAGGCGATTCTGAGACGCAAGCGTCGCCGCCAGCTGGCGTCGCTCCCCGAGAAGAAGTTCCAACATTCGTTTGAGGTGGAGCGCGTAGCGCAGCGAGAACATCGCGAGAAGGTTGAGGAGGTGATAGAAGAGTATCGAGAAATGGGACAGTCGAGGAAGCGCAAGGTCGTCGAGGTGCTATTCAAGTTGATTCGAGCGATTGTGCGCCGTTTTTTATACCATGTGCAGATTCGTGCTAACTATTCGAAAGCATCCCTGTCCTCGCCACCATCTGGGCGCTGTAACCGTCATCCTCAATGCTGTGAGTACATTTCTTGTTTTCGTGCATTACTGCTTGCTGATGGAGCTCAGAGCGAGAAGGTAGATGCTGAAGAAGAAGAAGAAGGCATAGAGACTCATATGGAGGAGGACGAAGTGGATATTGACATATTTGAGAACGACCATCATGCCGATGCTGACATGCCCGACGTCGATCTCGACATGGAAGTTGATGAATACAACTGCAGCGCTGATGTCAACATGTCCGAGTCCGCGCCTGCGTCTACATCCGTACCCGCACTTACGTGTTTGTTCCCTCCGGGTCTCTCAGCCAACATGCCCCCGAACGCTCCCGGGGCCGACATGGCCGACATCGAGACAATCGCTGCTGGGCCGGCTTTTGTCGACGGTTATGTGCCTCTGGACATCTGGATCGCACTCTACATGCCGTCGTCGCCGCGGCCGACGGCAGAGAACCCAGGGTACTTGATCGACTCGGCATACGATACGCCCGCGCCGCCCGCCATCGTACTATTCCCCACGACTGCCACCGAGCAGCAGGAGCAACTCCAGTCCCAATTGCAACCACAATCACAGTCGAGCGCTAGCACTGAAGACTGGTCGACGTATTACTGCCCCGGCATCCCAGTTCTAGCTACAGGGACTCCAGGCTACAGCGTCGACTCGACAATCGACTTCGAGCTGTCGGACAGCACGCTCATATTCGAGGAGAGTTCGCTCGTCGAGGGCCCCGACGACGTGCGATCTCAGAAGGATGTATCCGACGGTGAGAAGGGTGAGCAGCCGGTTCTGCTCATCATCGCGCCTAAGCCAATGCTTGCTGCCTCCCAAGCAGGACCGTCGCTCCTCTGGTCGCTCTCGTTCGTATGAGCTCTCCCATTCACTCATGGCGCGGGCGCGATATGACGAAGACGGTATAACGGGGACAATATAATGAAGACTCGCATATACCCTGCATATATGAAGAATATGTTTCTCGGAAGATCTCGATAATGGAAAGACTAGCCATGAATGGCTTCGTTTCTCTTTCTTGATATCCTTATTCATAATTTATCGTTTCCGGTTTTTCAGTTGCATACGACTTGGACTTGGGCTCGGACTCGAACTCTTGAATTGGATCTCTCTCTCACATCTCTTCCATGTGTCCTTCGATTTGTTTCGATTAAGATTCCTCTCAGCGCATGTGTATCTTTCTCATGCATCTGGTCACACAGGCCCCATCGTCTCGATCCCGGCGCTGGATGGACCGGACACGTCTCGCCTACGCCGTGCACACTCCGACGCGTTATCGATACCCGCGACTACCTCCGAGGTCGCTCGCCAGCTATTGGCTGCACAGATTGCTAGCCACGCCCGCTTACTGGTCGCGCAACAGTTACTGGCTGCACACACTACCGATTTCGCACCTTGCTACCTGCTGACGCATTGTCCAAGGTTGCTCTGCGCTCTCTCTCCGATTATGTTTCATCTCGCCCTCTTCGCTGTGAGCTTCTGCCGCTGTGTTCGCTTTACTCGGCTGCTTTCGCTACTTGCGCGCTTGTCGGCTCTTCTGGACTCAACGCAGTTTTCTTTTGCTATCGACTTTCCCGAACATACGACCAGTTCGCGCTAAACGGCCGATACTTTCGACCTCCCAACTATGAGCTCTCTCCGCTCCTTTTACTGGTGTGCGACTAATGGAGGATGCCTCCGACCGCTGGCGACTCCATGGTGGGCTCACGATCATTGGCAGGGCGCCGATGTTATGTATTTGTTAAGCAATAAATTGTAGCTTCGTCCATATGAAATATTAATCTGACAACCGGTACTGTATCTTGACTGGGATATAAATAGAAGGCCATCAAGAGACGGTGCGATGTTAATGAGAGCGAGCGGCCATTCAGTCAATGGACGTTCGATTTCAGCATGGAGCCAAGTACACTCGTCCAGACTGAGCCTGATTAGCGATTTCAGCTGACACCTTTAAGTTTCTACACTTCCCGGTTTTGAGAACCGAGTAGAGCGCCTGCATGTGCAGATCAAGACGGAATTCTTGGGGTGAGACGTTCAACGACGTCTTTCTTTGCCACGATCCCCTGCGAGGCACGAATTAGCACGAAGCACGACGTATTCGAACATCACGCACGAGACAGACATCTTGCGTGTCCTAGACGGACTTAAACGACGGCACCTTCACTGGTGTGTTCACCCATGTTTCCTCCCGCGCCCAGCTCTTCGTCTAAGCCACAGGTGAGCCGCTCCGCTTGTGCGTAATCGAGCGACTCGCCGATGTTACCAATCTCCGGAACGACGAAGCTTGGCACAGAGAAGCGGCCCGAGACAGTGTGCATTTCTGAAGTGACGCTACTTGAGGCGGATGATCGTAGGTTGAGCATGAAGCGAGACATGAGAATCTGTGGCTGATGCAGTATCGGTATTGACCACTTCAGACAACCCCAAAATGTTGATTCACCAAAACATTGCACACGGCCTGTACACTTGCGGTGTTGTCCTGAACCAAGATATGAGTATAGGATATCGAGCGACGGACAATGCGAAAACTTACAGTCTTAGCGATCATGTGCGCTATTTCACATGCAAGAAGGACTCTGCCAGCAGGGAGATCAGGTGCCACTTGACAACATAACAAACGGTAACGCCTTACACGAAGTAGTAGGTACCTTTGTATGGTACTCAAAATCAGGAGATGGACGCCGCGTAGAGATCGCATTAAGCCATACAACTCACCGTTAGCGAGCAGACATGTCGCGACTGGCAATGAGACCTTTAGACGCCGCGCAGCCATCCACTGGTGGAATGTTTTCTCCCACGTAATGATTAGAATGGCGACGCTGACTGCCGCAAGGCACCCATGTATGAGAAGCACCGCTATATGAGAAATGAGAAGCTTGTGGAAGAAGACGGGATGCCACCTCTCACTCCTGTATACGGTCAGCACGTGGTCACTGCAGCATCAGTCTTGTAATGAGACCCACATAATATTGACATCCGCAGAGGAGCTGACAGCTCCGGTGCACAGGCGAAAAGAGGTACTCGAGTTGAGGAAATAAGTAGAGCGGACGGCAGCAAGCTGAAACCTGATTGTTAGGAAGCGATACAGGATTCACTTGGCTCTGGACGCACCAGATTCAGTGCTGCTGGTGCTATTCCACACGCCAGAACAATCCAGAAAATCCAGCGATTGCGGTTGCATAGTACACACGCGCGCATTGCCGCGAATACTTGACAGCACGATGAGCTGAGGCGGAAGAATGAAAAACAGTCAAGTGATGATAACGTACGACCTGTAAGCAGCAGCGTGATGATACTCAAGATGTCACGCCAATGCCCAGCCGCACTGCAGCTATGGCTCAGTATTAGTAGGTGTAGGACTGAATTCCCCGCATCAGATGAAACAGCTGGAGACGTACGACTGCTTGCCTGTCAGACGTGTGGTTGCAGACAACATCTTGCGAACGACTTACTTTGGGGTCTTGTGGCCACAAGAATGAGCCGATGAGACCATTCACCAGCATGAGCCAGCGTAGGCTTAACAGCAGCATGGATGTTACGGTCCACCTGCGCTTCCACACAGTCGCAATCTCGAGGTTTATAGTGATGAGGAATTCGTAGATGGACAGTGCTAGTCATCCACAGTCAACGGAGACAGGAGAGCAGCGCGGGGGAACGTACCATTCGTAGCCATGGAAACATGGTCAAAGAAAATACTGGAGATATGAGCCAATTGTCTGGCTTGTTAACAATGAAGGACACACCTCTGAGAGACAAAGCTCCGCGACTCGTCGGAGGACGTCATATGCCAGTGCTGACAGCTTTGCGGTCTAGGGACACATTCAGCTGGCCGCCACGTTTATAGCTGTTGTTAGTTTCATTACAATCTTGAGTCATTGATAGCTCTGAGATCAAGAAGCAGCCCCACATCCGCAATTATTGATACGTATGATGGCCACCGAGTACTGAAAAAGGACCAGACTACTTCACCGCTTCTTCTGCGATTGGTTTGCCGCGCAGCCAACGCGCAGGCGCTGCTTGCCTCTCTCCAAGGAAAGACATAATTCAAAGGCGAGAATCCGTGCAAAGCGATCTAAAGTGTCTTGATAGCTGGAGGGTGACCTGTGGCGGATGGCACCGGATGGGGGACGCTCGTCCGGGGGATATTCGCCGCCACCTCCACCTTGGTTAATGATACTTGCGATGCACCCTACAACGATTCTGGCAAGATTTAGGATCACTATATACTCAGCACTTCGGATCTTTGATCCCTCCGATTGGGAGCTTGGAGTTTGACTACTTGATTAAGCTGTAAGCTCTCCCGTGGTGAGCAGTAAGCCACTCTGCAACAGGGCAGAAACGAGGTCTGCATCTTGAGGCTTGAGCTAATGGACGAGGGAATCGAGTACAAGGACGAATGTAAGGAACCAAAAACCCCTGCATATTCCCTAATAGGCCCCATCTTGCAGCTGATCCAAGAACGATAGACACCCGGCAAATTTTTTTGGAGCTCGGGAGTTCGAAAAACCCGCGGGCGCTAGAACGAACAAAGCGAGACGCCGACGCCGCGTTTAGTAATCCCGCCCTGTCCCGCCCGACGATCCTCTGCCTTGCGAGTATACGCGCCATCCCCGTTCACTTTCCATTACTACAGTCACCGCGATAACATGTGAAGACATTGTCATATGAGGCTTGTACTGTAATCCTTACATCCTATCTCTCTTCAATGTTCGCATGTGGGTCTGGGTCTTCGGTAAAATTTCAGTTATCTCGCGTCGGGATTACCAAACACGGCGTCCGCGTCTCACTTTCGCTCGGGCTCTAGCGCCCGCGGGTTTTCAAACTCCCGAGTTCGAGCCGGCTTCAGCTGCTATTTAATTTTAGGGAGTCTTGTGTGACAATGTCCCAACGTTAAGATCTCGGAGAAGATTCAGTGACAGTCAGATGCCACGCACGTCGAGATAGACGTCCTGGTTGTCTTCCCAGCCTGCCTCTTGGGAGCCAGCGACGACCCCTTCGACAACATCTTCGCTGACGCCTTCTTCTACGACCAGCCTTTCGTCTAACCCACAGATGAGCTGCTCCACTTGAGTGTAGTCGAGCGGCTCACCGATGTTGCCAATTTCTGGAACGAGGAAGTTCGACACGGTGAACCGCGAGAAGTGGCCTGAGAAAGAATGTGTTTCTGAGGCATTGCCACTTGGGGGAATTGACCGCAGGTTTAACATGAAGCGGGAAATGAGAACTTGCGGCTGCCCCAGAATCAGTGTCGTCTGCCACAGGTAATCCTGGAAGACCGGCTTACCAAGATCTGGACCAGGGCCTGCACAAGAAGAAAGCCGCTCTGCATCCAAGCTATGAACATACGTAAGGGAATAAAACAAAGCAGAAACTTACAGCTCCAGTGACCATCTGTGCTATATTACATCCGAGTAGGATTCTAGAGATGTTATGATATTGGAGGCTGTTCGTCGGAATGGTAAACAGTGATAGCTTACAAAAAGTAGTAGGTACCTTTGGATGACACTTATCATTATAACATCACATAACCAGACTGACCAAGTCGCGCAACTCACCGTCAGTGAACAGACAGGTCGAGACCGACAATGGGATATTGAGACGCTGCGCGGTCATCCATTGGCGGAATGTCTTGTTCCATGTAATAAACAGAACGGCGAGGTCGACTGCGACCAGACATCCCCGTGTGAGGAACAGCACTAATCCACGACTTAGAAATTTGTGAAAGAATGTGAGATATTGCTCTCACTGCTGCGCATGGTTAGCGTCAGTATATTTACGCGGCAGTTCTGTAATAATGCTCACATAGTATAGACCTCGTCGGTAACATTAATATTTCCGATGCACAAGGGGAAATGCGCACTGGAGTCGAAGGAGTAAGTGGAGCGGGCGGCAGCAAGCTGAACATTGTCATCAAGAATTGACACGTCATTCGTGCGACTCTGAGCGTACCGTGTCTGTTGCAACCGGCACCAGCCCACACGCCAGGATTATATAAGAAATCCATCGGCTATGGTTGCACAGTACATACGCACGCATTGCAGAGAATACTGGACGGAGTCAGTGCGCTGAATTCAAGCAGAGGAATGAAGTCAAGCTGACTTACGAGCCATCTGCAGCGTTGTGATGATACCCATAGTGCTAGTCCAAATTCCAAACGCACTGCAACTGCGGTCCGGTATCAGGCGGAGGCTTTTTGCATCAAGTGAAAGAGGAAACATACGACTGTTTACTTGTGAGTCGTGTCTTTTCAGTCAGCATTCCGTGGATACTTTACCTTAGAGTTCGTTGGCCACAAGGACGCAGTGACAAGAGCATTTAACAGCATGAGCCAGCGCAGACTCAACAATAGCAGAGATGTCGCGGTCCACTGGAACTTGCGATTCCATACAGTCGCGACCTCGAGATTTACGCTGATGAGGAATTCGTAGATAGGCAGTGCTAATCGCCCGAAGTCAATAGAAGTCGAGAATATGCGCAGGAGGGCGTACCACTCATGGCGGCATAAATACGGTTTGAGAAAATGCTATCATCTCATCATGAGCCAGTAGTCCTTCTCGTCAATATCTAGGACACACATCGAAGAGACCAACGCAGCCTCCGAACTCTGCTGTTCATCGGAGGACATGGGGCTGAGAACTAGATGGTTGAAGGGCGCATTTAGTTGGCCACCATTGCATGTTTATAGCTGTTCCTGGTCCAATATGTCCTTAGATAGCTGGTGCCTCTGCGGTCAGAGGCATGTCACATCCTGTCCAATGCTACTCCGTATGAAGACGTCCTGCGACTAGTAGCATGAGATATGAGACATCTGCCCAACAATATTTGCAAAGCCGCTGCGTAACCTTAAGTTTGGTTCCTGAAACATACGTTCGTATCATGAGATCTGGTAAGCACTGTCTTTAGCAAATGTTATGTCCCCGGTCAACGGCATCCCCGATGTCTCCGAAGAGGATGCCCTGGATACCAATATGCTGGCAAACTGAAAAGGGCCGACCTAAAGCTCGTTACGTACCGCCAGGGTTTCTTTATCTCCGATCACAAGCTCGCAGCTTGGGTACTTCTCTGCGAACCTGGCCCCACCTGACCCCTTCCCTCGGATGAAAGAAAGCGCTTTCCTTTTCGTCTCCTTTTGAATTCTAGGTAGCTGCTACCGTCGAGCCATGCGCACTATCTCAGGCCCCGCAGCTCCACACTTTCCATACCTGTGTTTTACGAGCCCCGCCGGCCTCGTGTCGTCGAGCAGCACTTTCAATGTTGAGAGGGAGGCCTATCAATGAGAAGTTATATTCAAGAGCGAAGACCATGGTATGCCTTGTCGCTCGGCCGATTCGGCCTGTAGCTGTTTGACATCGGGTATGTGCCCGGGGTTTTCTTCCCAGACCCCGTCAGGGACATTATCTCCCCAGTGGAAGGTATGGAAGGTGTCAACTTCCATACCCCTCGCCCATGTCTGGCGAACGAACAACGCGTTGAAGGGTGGTTGCCAGATCCACCACTGACATCGTATGGTTCAGGTCAGCGTCAGATGCATCAGGACGTCGGATACCACTCACGTGGTCAACATATAATATAGGCTCGCCTGGAGGCGAGACTAAATGCAGCGCTGTTGGCGTCGCAATTTCCAAGAAACAGTCCGTCTCGAGGAATAGGCCTAGGACGTGCATGAAATCGGTGTAGTGCCGGCCAGGGATGTACATCGTGTCGGCAGAACCCCCAATGAACCGCGTCCCTTTCGTGAGCGACGCGAGGTGTTCTCGCATCGGTAAAGGAACCTTCAGGTAGGCAGACATGCAGACATGCACTCCAACATGCGGTTCTCTATGTAGCGAAAGTGCGTGAGTGTCACCTTCCAAGGTCTCTAGTACCAAGTAGCACTTACCCCCACCACCAATCCGGTCCCCAGTGTTTCCATGTCGCCGTCAAATTGACTGATGGATCAGGCGAGATATTCGCAGGCGGTGCGTGCCTGTTCTTATCACGGTTCGCGGCCCTGTTGCCTAGTGCAGGGTTGTGTACATACTGCCCGAAGGGCGAGTGGTACCAGAAGTAGCGCTGATCAAACTGCTGGAGGCGGGGAACATTCAAGAGAGTGTCGAATGGCGCCCAGAGGTACCCGTCGTAACATGGGTACTCGCGCATGGCAGTATAGAGCATATGATGAGCCATCTGCGGGGACATTGTTAGTATCAAGGAGATAGAGACTGAAACGAAGAGCATACTCGACCAGCCATCTTGTAGAAAGAAGGGTCCGACAAGTCTTCGTCTGACTCATATGTGTCGACCAGGACGTCATACGAATGTCTGAAGCCCTTGTCCTCTCTACTGCCCGGCCCCACGAAGACTATCTGAGCTAACTTCAACTTCAGCTCAGTAGCGTACGTTCGAACACCACTCACATTTGGAAACCACTCTGCATAGACTTCCTGATAAAAATCAAGATTGACATTGTACCGCGCATGGCTGAAGAACACAACAAGCAAGACGTCATCAAACGCGTGATACGTCCGGTTTCCCTCATATGACGTGACAGACGGTGGGGCCTTGCGCGGGCAAGTGGTGTTCACCTGTGTAATTCCATTCAGCAGCGTTGGACGTTTGAATACCGGTGGTGCATATAGGAGTGTGCGGCTTGCCGCGTGCGTTGTATATACAAGACTCAGCGTCGCGGCAACCAGAACAAGCGGCGCCACAACTCGGAAGAGCGAGCCAGGAGTAGCCTGAACAAGAAATCTAGCTCTCAGTGCCGGATATACCGGTGGTTCATCCTAGAACTCTAGAACTCACCTTCAGATATCGTTCGTGAGTCGAAGTCGCCAAATAAGCGATTGCTCCAAGTAACGTGATGGAAGAGCCACTGATCAAACCTGTTGTGTACTGTGCGTGCGCGAGACTATGGCCGAGCAGATATGTAGCAGCACTTAATGAATGCAGGACGGCGGCGGATACGGCGCCCTGGGCTGTTTTTGTCAGGACCGTCCATATTCGTTCTCGCAACACCACTCACAGTAAACGACTGCTAGTAGAGCTACGTCAAAGGCGGCTTGGGATGCTGCGGTGGTTACTACTCGCGTTCCCGAGAAATGCGCACTAAGCTCCTGAAAGGCCGGTTGAGACGCGCTTTTCGCCGATACAAGCGTATTGACGATTGTCGTGCATGTGAAAAGTAACAGGTGGAACGCGGAAACGGAGATGCTGTGGACGTTGGTGTAGGTCTGCGTTGGATCAACCTCCGAGGAAATGACGCGAGTAATGATACGAACGTACGTATTCCATAAATGCAAAGTAAAGCGAGGTGGAGAGCGCAACTGCGGAGAGCGTGGGGAATGTGGATGACGGGATTAGTTTGGGAATTATAGTTGACTATAAGGACTCGTGAAATCAGTGGCGCGAAATAAAGAGGCTCGTATAATCTCACCTGTACGATACAGAAACCAGCTGTCTGTCGAATGTGTGAGCATCGCCCTGATAAAAGAAGATAATCGTTCTCACTTGTAAAAGAGCGGCTTGCGATTGCGAAAGTCCAATATTCCTTGAGAGAAAGAAGTACGAAAGCACCCCGGCGACGAACGTTCCCACAGACGCGGCAAGCCAGGTCGTCATGGGGCTTGTTAACTCCTCGGACAACGCAAGCTACCAAAGACTAAATGTAAAAACACCCTTGGCTGAGAGTAACACGTACATTATGCTTATGTATCGTGAACAGGACCGCTGCAAGCACGGTGAATGCGCACGCTACGCCCGGCGATATGCGCGTCCCACTGGTGTGCTGGTGCGTATGCTTCCCCTCTTCGTCCCGGTGTGAGCCACCCTGACCGTCTCCGATTACACTGTTCAGTGGCAGGCTGTCTTCTTGTGTGTCGTAGCTGCTGCTCGCGGGTCGGTCTCCTCGTCGACGCTGCCAGAAGTAGTATGATATGGCGAGGACAAGCTTGAACAATTCCGGCAGTACAGGGTTGCGTATCGTTAAAGGCACGCCAGATACATCTTCATCTTCATATTGCGACGAAATCCACTGCTGTACGGTCCATGTTGCCACGAATACTGTCTGTACACAGCGCGTCGGGGTGAGCTTCCCCTGCACATTGCTGGAACGCTTCGTACCGAAATCTTTACTTTTCTCCAAGATCTAAGATTACTGCCTGCAATGCCCTGGTGCAAGCTCGATGGGGTCATGGAAATGCGCCAGGAAAATGTGCAGCGCTGGGCGGATGGCGGGGTCAAACTGGTGAGCTAACAAGCGCCCGTTTGCTTGCTTCCGGCGAAGGACACCGAGCGCGAGAGCTTGGCTCGTAAGGCAGCCCTCGCGATACATGATACAGAGCAGCAACGTCGCTCCCTATATGGCTGAATAAAGTGCTACTTACTGTGAGATTGATCCGGTAGTCTTAAAATGAGTTATTGTATGGGGCAAACCTCAGATGTATTATGATATCTGGTGATCTACAAGAGCTTCATGCGATATGTCCTCGTACCAACGGAGAGCGGAGGAACGGCGGGATTACTCGCTCCGGCGCCTGCGAAGTTCTCGAACACCGTGCTCTGTAATTTGGCCCAGGGGTGTTCATCGTTTTAGGTGTCATGACGCGGGCGATAGGATTGGGTTTAGGACGCTTCAGGATGCACAAGAGAATGATTCTAGAGTAGCAGACATAGTGTACAATACACGTTCTCTTACGAGATGCAGAAATACAATGTCGTGATCAATGTCCAAATGAGGAGGTTGAACTCTCTAAATTCTAGCCTGTACCGTCACTGAGTACCATTCGTCGCGCCATTCGTCACACCATTCGTGGCCCCAGTCGGAGTGCCGCTAGCAGCGGCCTTGGCGACGTGAACGGCCTTCGTGACAGGTACAGGGAACTCGAGGCCCCGAGCCTTGCGACGAACGTTGTCCCGCCGCCCGCGAACCGCCTGACAAAGACGGTCGAGCACGGGCACGGTCTGCTCCCACGAAATGCAGGCATCTGGCACTGCGGTCAGCGGAGGCGGATCTCGTGAGAGCAAATGAGACGCACCGGTGACGGACTGGCCGTGTTTCAAACCAGCGGGACCAGAGGTGGGGATGTCCTGGCGGCCTTCGACAAGGTTAGATTCGAGCATGACGCCCATAATCATCTGTGAGGTATCGCCCGACTCGAGCTGCTTTGCCTTCAGGGGTAACGGTATTTAGTTTACATCCGGCGACGATCGGAGCGAACTTACAATATCCTCGGCGACATCCAATTGACGACGGTGCTGCTTCTGGCTGTTGCCGTGACTGCAGTCAATCATCACCTTGGGCGCGAAGCCTGCCTTGATCATCTTGTCGCCGCAGTCGTGGACATACTGAGCGGCGAAATTGGGGCCCGACGAGCCGCCGCGGAGGATAACATGAACGTCGGGGTTGCCCTGTGTGAGCCGATCAGCACCTGAATATCCGAGACGGGACAGCCTCGTTTCGAAGCAGACGAAGTGAAGTGATGGGGAAAAAGAGGTACCGAGCAAAGCGGATCTGAGATTGCAGGAACGACCCTGCATCCACGTTGTGGCAATGAAGGGGAATCGAAAGCTTACCTCGGTTTCGACGATACTACTGAGACCGCCCTTGCCGACGGACAAGAAGACGTGCGGCTGGCTGGCCGCCCTGCAAGCGTCAATCGCAATGCCGACAGTTCCGTCGGTGGAGTTCTTGAAACCAGTAGGCATGGAAAGCGCGGAGACGAGCTCGCGATGTACCTGCGACTCGGTGGTGCGAGCGCCGATGGCACCCCAAGAGACGAGATCGGCGGTGTACTGCGGGGAGATCGTATCAAGGAACTCGCAACCGGCAGGGAGACCCATATTGGCAATATCAAGGAGGAGGGTGCGGCCAAGGCGAAGACCCTTGTTAATCTGGAAGGTGCCGTTCATCTCTGGGTCATTGATGAGGCCCTTCCAGCCAACAGTGGTACGAGGCTTCTCGAAGTAGACGCGCATGATAATGAGCAAGTCATCCTTGGCCTTGTCGGCGTACGCCTTGAGCAGCCTGGCATACTCGAGTGCAGACTCGACGTTATGGACCGAGCAGGGGCTACAGAGAGCGATCAGGACATGGCTGATAAGAACTCTGCGAGATGCCTCACCCCACCACGACCATGAGGCGATCATCGTTGGACTTGAGGATATTCTCTGCTGCTTTGCGAGCCTCGAGGATAGTTTGGGCAGCGTTGAGTGTCCTACACTAAAGTGAGAATTAAGTTTCGTGACAAGGTAGGTAGCCTACAGAGGGAGGTCCTCCTGAAGGATCTGGGGAGGAATGAGCGGCCTGGTGGCCTTTACCCTGCGGTCGTCCAGTCTGTGGAGAGCTTCACGGAAGGAAAGGGCCATTTGTAGCTCTGCCACTGGTAAAGGAGGAAGAGAAAGCGTTAGGAAGTGTGCTCTTCGGTCGAGGGTTTATATACGTACTCTTGGATCAAAGTAACGTTATGTGATGGGGGGCGAGGAGACCCGAGGCAGTGGACGAACGTGTGCGGAATTGATGGGCCAGCGCGCGGCTCGCGATGAGGGTGGCTATTGTCCTCGAATCTGTGGATGAGAATGTACGAAAGCGAAAGACCCCGGACTTTTGACAGGCGGTGTAGAGCCTATACGGGGCGAGTCAAGCATCGGCGTCTATTACCATTTCAGGAGTATGCACGTGCTCCACGTGTGCAGGCGCCGATCGCGTATTGTCCTTGACGCCTTCGCGCTGCCCGTGAGCCCCACCTTTGCCCGCCCATCCACGACAAAAAACTAGATCCAAGATGGATTTTTCAGCCATGAACGCAGCCGAGCAGGCACACATGAGCAAAGTCATCGAAAAGAAGCAGGTCAGTCCTCCACAGCCATGTCGTATTCCCCAGGCGCTGCTCAAACATATGCCTGTTGCTCCAGATGCAAGACTTTATGCGCATGTACTCCAACCTCGTCGAGAGGTGCTTCAACGCTTGCTGCAACGACTTCACGAGCAAGGCCCTTTCCTCAAAGGAGGTGCGCTTCCCGTTCCTTTCTCCGCTTGCTTCTCGGAACGCTCGCAGAGCCAAGTTGAACTGACAGTCCCTTTTTTCAGGAACAATGTGTGCTCAATTGCACCGACAAGTTCTTGAAGCATTCAGAACGAGTGGGAGCGCGGTTCGCAGAACAAAATGCCGGTACGCTGTCCTCAACTCATGCGAACGTGACTGTCCGACTCACACCGATCTTGCTTGCAGAGGCCATGGGTGCCGGCAGCAAGTAACAAGTCCGGCGATGTGCATATCGTCCCATGCCCGACGCTTCGTTCTACTATACAACATCCTCCTAATTCACTTGACCCGCCTGCATGCCCTACTGTTCCTCGCTCCATTTGTCCCGCTGTCACCGCAAATGTCGTGCGGCTCTCAGGCAGCCATGCCACATAGTGCAATTGTTGGTAAGTGGTGTCCATTAGAAACCCAGGACATGCATGCTATACAGATTATCTCTCGATATCAACCTGAGCTCATCGCATTAAGATTGCACACAGCTTAGACAGCCCTGCCTAGCTCGTCACGCTTTGCGTTACCCCTGTTGCAGCAGGGGCCACGTCAGAGCTCTCATGCTCATTCTCAGGACCTGTCGGCATTATCAGCGCGTGAGCTTGACCAGTGCTTGGGGGTGCCGTTTCCGGGTCGGGCTCAGTTGCGAGGGCTGGTTCAGTGATAAGACCAGGTTCGGTAGGCGGGGGTGCAGAAGCCCGCTTTTCCTCGGCCTCGAGCTTCTCGAGCCATTTAGTGACGAACTTGACGTGTGCACCGTAATTCATCGTGGCTTCAAGTGAGTCCCTGGAATCGGGTCAAAGTCCTCTGGATGAGCGGGTCTGGGAAGGCGTTGAGACCAGAAGCGTCACTTACCGTACGATGCCCTTGGCATCTATCACGATCGTCACTCGGGCATCGACAAGGCCAAGCAGGCCTTTGCCTATGTGATATGTCTGTCTTGCCTCCCCATTCGAGTCGCTGAGCACCGGATACTGCAATGAGAGTGTCAGTGGGACTTCTCCCATGCTATGTCATTGATTGCGTACCGTTAGCTTGTGTTTCTCGACGAATTCCTTCTGCTTCTCGACAGGGTCTGAGCTGATACCAATGATTTGTGCTTTCGTCGTCTTGAAAGACTCCCTTTCTGCAGTCCAATGAACCCAATCCGTCTCACGCTCGACTTCCAAGGACACGTACCAATCAAGGCGTCGCGAAATTCGCATGCCTCCTTAGTGCACCCATACGACCCTGAACGCATGCAGCACGTCGTCAACGGCCAAATCTCTGCTGAGACCCGGTTGGGACGTACCAGATTTTGGGTAGAAGAAGATGATTACAGGGCGTCCGACGTTCTCAGAATTGAGGGTGTACGTCTGGCCATTGGCATCTGGAAGAGACAACGGCGGGGCGGGCTTGTCAGTGAGGGGGTATGAGCGAGGCATCGCGGTCAGGGTTCGCAGCGCACCTAACGCTGAGAACAGCCGACTTTAAACAAGCTCCTGTGACCATCTGACTGTTGCTGGACCAACAAAAGAATCCGCTTCCCCGAACGCTCTAGAATCAACGATATTACGATGACCGTGGCCAGGGGCTGCGCAAAGGCTCGGCGTTCTTTTGGGCTGGACGGCTTTGTGGTCGGGCCCTACGCAAGACGTGGATGTCAAGAGAAAGGCTGTGCCTGCGAGCTTAGGCGGAAAATTGAAGGGTGCTGCTCGCTACGATGGTCCGCGGATCGTGCTGTAGTTGATTGCCATCGTTGACACGATTGAGCCTCTGCTCGTACCCAGCCCTTTCAAGAGCGGCAGGGTGTAACAGCCTACATGCGTCTTAAACCTGTGACGCCCATGGGGAACATCAGCAAGAATGCCCGAGTCTTTCTCTCTCTCTATGCATGGCCATCCCGGAGATGTACCTAGCCCATATCGCGCTGAGTATCATGTCATTACGACACCGGCCGGCGTGTACACCCCTGATATTCCGGGGAACTACAGTACCCGATAGGAATGCGACCGGGAACCGGCAGCCACTTCATGGCTAAGATCGCACGGACTTGCCCTCTTAACCTCGCTCTGCCCTTGCCACTAACGGCTGCGAGCTGGTCCAGAGGTTCATTGGGATTGTTACAGCCATGTATCTGAAGTCTAAGCATCCCCAGCCTCCCTCTGTCCCGGACGCGAACGCGTACTTCGCGATGTTCGGCGGCCCTGATGACCCTCAGCCAGCGGACTTTACGGCGCACATCGACGCGTCCTCTGGACGGCAAAGGTCGTATTATGAGCTCAGGCAGCTCGTCAAAGAGGGTGCGACTGCCCTAGCAGCTCCCGAGTCTGCAGGAGGACTTGGTTTGAGCGCGGAGGCGGGACACATGGTCGGGTTGTATAGTCATAATTATATGGTGAGCACTGTTGCATTTGTCTGCCAGCGATATCGTTCCAACCCGTCATATAGGACTACATTGCAATGGTAAACTCGCTGGTGTACGTTGGCGTGCCAATATCGCTTCTATCGGCCTATTCCACCCCATATGAGCTCGCCCATGCCTTGAGAACCTCCAAAACAACCCACATGTTCATTCAACCCGACTTTCTCCCAAAGGCTCTGGAAGCTGCCAAACAGCATGGACTACCAGAAGACCGCATATACGTCATGGAGGGCACCTCGGCCGGGAGGAAGAGCTTTCAAGACCTGATAAACCAGGTCAGAGAATGCGGCACTCCATTGGTTGCACCCAAGGCTGTCGCGAAGAATACGCTTGCGTATCTTGTCTTCTCCAGTGGTACGAGTGGTCTGCCGAAGGGTCCGTGAGCTTGCAGTCTTTGAATCGGATTTGCTGGTCTAAATGGCGTTCCTTTCCAGCCGTTATGATATCTCATGGCAACATCTGGGCTATGATCTTCGCTCAGATGATCCAAAAACAAGAGGATGAGAAACTCACCAATGTAAGAGTCTTTGCATCACCAGCTTGGGTGCACTGAATGATATTGCCGAAATAGCCTCCACCACCTGAAGCTCCTCCTATCTGGCTACTTTTCCTGCCATTCTACCACACCTTCGGCCTGCACATGGCTTGCTTCCGGCAATTCTTTGTACCCAACACCTACGTCCTTGTACCGAAGTGGGACGTCCATCTGGTGCTCAAGTCGATCCCAAAGTACGGCGTCCATGTGATACCGCTCATCCCGTCTGCAATTCACCAAATGGTGAACCACCCACTGTTCAAAAAGGTCGATCTAAGCTCACTCGTGAGCGTGTCCAGCGGAGCGGCGTATCTGCCGCCTGAGCTGACGAGGAAGTTCATGCGCGTCATCAAGAATGCGAGCGTGATGACAGAGGGGTACGGCATGTCTGAGCAGGTGCGCACATCTTCGTCGCGTCTAACACGCCATACCAACCGACTGCCGCTGTAGACCCTGAGCTCTATCCGGAAGCCTCTCCCGGGTCTTTTTGGACTGCACGCGCCTATGGGATGCACGGGCATCCTCTTGCCTGGCGTCGAGGCGCGCATCGTGCGCCCAGATGGGTCAGAGGCAGACTTTGACCAGCCGGGCGAGCTGTGGGTGCGCGCACCAAACGTTGCGCTGGGCTACTATGGCAATGAGAAGGCAACGCGCGAGACGTTCGTCGACGGCTGGCTGCGCACTGGGGACACGTTCAAAGCCGACAGGAACGAGCTGCTTTAGTGAGTCTCCGCTCAAAGTGCGAGACATGATTGAATTGACGCAGGAGGCAGCTTCGTAGACCGTGCGAAGGACACGCTGAAGGTTTCGGGGGCACAGGTCTCGCCGACCGAAGTCGAGGACACGCTATCTGAGCACCCCGATAGGCTCATCACCGATGTCTGCGTCGCGGGTGTGACAGGCGGCCGGACAAGCGACGAGAAGAATCCGCGCGCTTGGATTGTGCTCAGCGAGGAGGGCAAGCTCAAGGGAGAGCAGGCAACGATTGCTGCGCTCGATGGGTGGATTAAGAAGAACCTGAGCAGGTACAAGTGGCTCCGTGGCGGGTTCGAGGTTGTTGACTCGGTGAGTTATCTGCGATGATACCTTGGAGAGATTGTACCAACGTTGTGTGGTGTACGTAGATTCCGAAGAATCCGACGGGAAAGGTCATGCGTCGCGTATTGGTTGACCGGTATGAGGCTAGGCTGGCGGGAAAGTCCAAGCTGTAGGAGTTGTTATGATCCTCAGTGTATCTATATTGTGTATCATGTCCTTGGAGTATCGAGCCAGTCTGGATATCTCATCTACCGTACGTAACGTCAGCGGGAGCATGAACTTTGTCCAAGCGCGCACGCATACATGTTGATTTTACACGACGCCGCTGATGTGTTGGATGCTCTTTACGGTACGCTGATCGTGCTTGGCTGACATTAAGATTACATACAAACTCGGTACACCCAAGATAACACAGGGAAAACCATCTGCACTCAGATAGAGAAAGGTTCACCAGGCACGGTGGCCACCATCAACAATGATGCTGTCGGAAATGAGTCAGGTACAAGCCAGGCGCATAGTACGACTGATACGCACTCAGAGCCAGTACAGTAAGAGCTGGCGTCGCTCGCAAGCCAGGTCGCTACACCACGGAGCTCATCGGGACGACCGAGCCTGTTCTGCGGATTCTGCGACATCCAGACGTCGTATAAGCCTGGATCCCCGTCCAGAAACATCTTGGTCATGCTGCAGGAATTCCCAGGCGGTCAGATACGAGCCGATACTGGCTTGGCTGCCCAACACACCTCGTATAGATGTAGCCAGGGCTGATAGTGTTCACGCGGATACGATCCTTGCCCAGCTGACACGCCATAGTGCGCGCCATCTGAAGCACGGCGGATTTGGAGGTGTTGTATGCACACCAGCCGCGGTTCTATGCCTAGTGAGCAGTGTATCGCGTCGATCAAGTAGTGCATGCTTGGCGCACCTGGTTCTGAACCGTGCCACTCATGCTGGCAATAAGGGTGATACTCCCGCCATTGCCAAAGCGGCGCATCTGCCTTCCCACAGCCTGGGCCGTAAAGAAGACGCCGTTGCAGTTCACGCGCATGACCTTGGCAAGTTAGATCAGTTAAGTATACACGAAAAGGTGTTCAAAATGCGAACTTCGCTCCAAACACTGTCGGGGTACTCCAGACAGTCGAAATCGGGCCTATTAATACCCGCCGCAGCAACACAAAAATCAAGGCGTCCCTCCTGGTCGCCGATCTTCTCTGCAACCTTCCACATGAGCTGCTGATTGGTTGTGTCTGCGCTGATGTAGTCGAGTCTGGCGTCACTGCCGGTACTTTTGAGGTCCCTGACGTAGTCGCGCGCCTTCAGGAAGTCTGAGGACGGCTCATGAGGAAGGTCGATGCAGTAGACAACGCGGGCGCCGGCCTCGACGAGCGCGGTTGCCATCTCGAGGCCCAAGCCGCGGTTGCCGCCAGTGACCACGCCGACGCGGTCTGTCAAGGCAAACTCCTTGGTGAAAAGGGTCGGAGCAACTTGGCCTATACGTGGCATTAGTGCAGCTAGATTGCGGAATAGGGGAGGGTCGTACCACCGGTGTGTTTCAGTGCAGCCTCGACACCGACAGTGCCGTAGCACGGGGCGGGACCAGTTATATCAGTACCGGACATACCGTGTTATTCGTGGAGGGAGGGATGAGGTGAGCGCGGTGAATTGTTGACGTTTTTGAGCCATATATATACTCTTATGACAAAGTGTATGTGAGTCCTGCTGAATGCGCACTGCACTCCTGTCGGAAAATGGCTGTAGGTGGCCAACACAGGGGTTCTCGTGCATAGGGACACGGCAAGTGCGCCACATTACCGCGAGCCACCAGTTGATCCACGAGAGCGGCAACAATTCAACTATTAGTATATCCTGCTTGTATATGACTCGCATATTGGCGGTAATGTAACTCTTTCGGCTTTTCGGGAGGGTATGAAAGCTAGCCAAGACTTGAAATCACCGTGTCGCAGAAGTATTGAAAGTTCAGCTTGCTAGATGACGTTGAAATGCATCAGCATAGTTTGTGAGCCACCGCTCGGACCACCGCCTCCTGAAGCGGATTGGACAAGGTGCAGGATAGGGGCCGGGCACGGGGCCGTGAGAGCTGGCTTCCAAATATGACGGTCCTCCCGCTGGACGGCGCGGCGTTCGACTACGGACTGCTCTTCTAACGCGCCATTTGACGGCTCTCCAAGCCCCAAGCCTTGCTTCACCCACAGAACTTGTCTGCACCATGTCGTTGTGCCCACCTTATGCACCGTTCTTTGGTTTTGCGGGAGTCGCATCCTCAGTAGGCGTGTTCAACTGAGCCATGATGCAAGTGGGCTAACCTACAGCGTGCGCACACAGATGATCTTTAGCAGTACGTTCATTCTCGTAGAGGGATGGAGTTGGAGTACTTAATCACCATTGCCAGCTGTCGGGGCTGCCTTCGGCACTTCGAAAGCTGGTATTGGCATCGCAGGTCTCGGTACCTTCAAGCCCGAGCTCATTATGAAGGTGCGTCACGCGCTGTGCTGTGGCATGCAAGTCGGAAGCTGACCGGTTTCTCGTCCGCCAGTCTCTGATTCCGGTGGTCATGTCTGGTATCATCGCTGTCTATGGTCTCGTAGTGTCTGTCTTGATCGCCGGTGGTCGTAAGTTATTTTTCTTGCCCATAATATCAATGTGCCCAACTCAATAAACAACGATATACAAAGTCAAGCCTACGGATTACTCACTGTACACCGGCTTCATTCATCTGGGCGCAGGCCTTGCTTGTGGCTTTACAGGCCTGGCGGCGGGCTACGCGATCGGCTACGTAGGAGACTCCGTACGTAAACCGTACTTGCGTTGCAATGTAATCCTTCACGTTCTCATCTTCTCTGCGACAGTGTGTGCGAGCCTATGTGTACGAGTCGAGGGTCTTTGTGTCTATGGTCCTGATTCTCATTTTCGGCGAGGTTTTGGGTCTGTATGGGTGAGTCTAGATTGTTCGCACTTGCGCATAGCTGATTCTGACGTGGCCTCCCACAGACTCATTGTTGCTCTAATCATGAACTCCAGAGCCTCTGGCTCACAGCAATGCACTTTCTAGAAAAGGATACAACTCCATCCTCCCGCACCCGCAATCCACATGCATATACCATGTCAAATGTCTTGATGGACAATACGACACTGTACGCTTTACTTGGTGCGCAAGCACTCTGAAGCAGGAGTCGGAATGTATATATCAAGACGTTATTCACGGGATGTACGCGCTTCTAGAGCTCGCGTTCCCTGTTCTCGGATAGAGACCTGCGCCTCCCGATATCGTCATTGTCATGGCTGTAGCCCCTGCGTCTTGGAGTTCGCCTACGACGCTCCCTAGAGCGTGACCTTGAGCTTGAGGAAGAGCTCGAAGATGAGTCGGAATCTGAACTACTGCTGTCACTTGAGTCTGAGTCATTTGAAGATGAGGTGCTGGAAGAGTCGGACCCGGAGTCAGAAGGCGAGGAGCTCCTTGACCTGTATAGAATTAGGGCGCATGTTTATCAAAGCGAGATGTGAGACGCACCGCCTCAATCTCTTGCGGGAAGGCTCGCCGTCTTTGTCCCTCGAGCCACTCTCTTTAGCTCGTGCCTTCTCCTTCTCCTCCAGGAGTTTGTTCGCGGTCCCGGGTCTACAATTGTTTTATCAGAACTAAAGTCACAAAACTCATAATTTCCTACGTACTTGAGCTTGAACTCCTCGGGGACTTCGACAGAAGGCTTGCCCTCAACCTTCAACTTCGCAAGAAGACGCGGGTTCTCAAGCTGTTGTGTCCGCGACGGCCGTGAGAGATAAGGGCGCTGTCCTTTACATTGATAGGTAAAGTGTCCTAAGAGAGGGATCGCAGGTCAGTTTTGTCGTGCGTGTTACATTGTGCAAACGGCGCACCTGTTCCAAGGCACTTTTGGCAGACTGTAGAAGACGTTGGGGTGGGGTTGGTGTTGCTGCTCTTGCGCCAGGGTGCGTACTTGGACATCTTCACTAAATGGATAAGTCTCAAAGGGTGATAAGTAGAGGAGTGATGGACGGGGGAACAGCGAGCGATGTCGGTGAGCAGGTGCACGCACCAAGCTGTCACTTTGATGTGACTGTCACTGGGCGGCTTCGACCTTGTGGCGTTAACGCGCGTCGGGCGTCGGGGAGTCTAGATCTTGATTCCTCAGCCCCGCCTAACAGGCTCGCAACATACATACGATAGAGCACGATTGTCAAGATGGCTTGCAATCACAGCTCTAGGTCGATAGTATAGGCTCTGGCTCAGTCTTCGACTTTTCCAGGCGCATCTCCGCGGACAGTCCCGGTTTATCGATGGGCGTCTGGCGCGCCCTCCGTCTAGACTCCGCTCGGCGCGGTCGAAGGCCTAGCGAGAATTCAGCCAGTGCAGCCCGTGCTCCTCGCAGTACCGACTTTTCCCGTGCAGAGAGTATGTTGTGCGCAGTGCGATATGTCTCGGAAAGCTTCAGTTATGCCATGGTTTGTGTATAAAAAGGCTGAGGACTTCGTCCAGTCGAGTCATCATCCAAAGCATTCAAGCACTTCTATCAGAGTCTTTCGAGACCTCTACCACCTTCACCACACCAAAGCCACCATCACATCGTCGAACTCTAGGCGATAAAGATGATGAACCTCATCCGCGCTCGCATTCCGGTACGTGCTCTCGCTCTCCCCCTCTGCCCAAGTCTCAACGCGCCACCTTGTAGTCCATTGCCCTCTGGACCACGCTTCAAGCCGGCATGTGGAGTGCCGTTTGGTTCAGATGGCGTGAACCAAGGTGAGCCCGCATCGGTAGCACCCAGTCGGATACTAATTAATTTCTCCCGTAGCGAGTTCCACACCCCACTCAAGTCCGCGATACCAGCCGGCCACATAGGCTGGGGAAGGCACCGACACGAAGAGCAGCCGACGCTCCGGAGCATGTCGCACCACGCAGTATGAGAAACGTGTTTGACGAAAAGAACTGGAATGATGATACTGTTAATTCTATATACCATTCGTTATTATTAGGCCATGTTTCTTCTGTGTAACAACATTGCGACATACTCATATTACACGTCTTCCAGAAACCATAGGGATAGTGTTCGATCCCGAGCAGCCTTCAGCATCTTCTATTTGCGCTCATGTTAGTATTCTTCACAGACGTTCAAGTTAGGCCACACTTGTTCATCATTGCTTGTTTGCCATCGCAGGCACGCATCCTCATACACACTTTTAGAACGCACGTTGAGTGAGTCAAACAACTACACCTATCAGTAGATGAGATGCCCAGGTGTGTGCAATCTTGCGCGGTATGTAGGTCTCGTGAACTACATGTCTGGAAATCTAGAATGCCTGGCTTTTCGACGGCGCAAGTTTCCGCAGAGATACATCGTAAACCACTACAGTTGTGTCAGGTGAGAGCGCACATCAAGTGTCTGAGGTTGCACACCTTCTTCTATCCTCTTGATGTCGTACTTCAGGCTGTCGTATCGGCGACGAAGGGTGTCGTTCTTCAAATTAAGCTGCCAAAGCCATTCGAGTGTAAGATCCAAAGACACTGATATGAGAGAACCGACCATAGAAAACCCTGCAAACAGGTCCTTTACAAAGGCAGAGATCTTGATCGGCTCTTCAAAGTTACCCATTGTAACCGCATTCACAGCAAGACGAGACTGCCAAGAGATTTTTTATAACGAAGTATGCATAACAGAGTATACGTATCGCTTACGAGCTCGTTGACCAAGCTGATCACGCCATGAAGATAGTCTTCCGCTGGCAAAGCATACCGATCGCTCCATTCAAGATCGACTGTGCAGAGGTGAGAGGTGATCTCGGATGATTAGATGTCCGACGCACTCCCGAGAACGTCGCGTACTCGCGGCAACGTGAGTAGGGTACCAGTCTCAAGATACCCGACCATCGTAGCAGCAAATACCGCGTTCCGCAGAGAATTGGTCCACATATCTTTCCACCTCCAGAATTGCGCGAGAGGAATGAGACTTGCTAGTGCTGCACTAGTATCTTTGCAGCTTTCCAGCACAGGCTTGACTTGTTCAAGGAGGGCCGGTACTGGTAATGAAGGTGAGACGGAGTGAGAGTGGAGCGGCGGAGCAGACATACCTTGGTCTACCGGAGTGGAATGAATCTTGTTAAGAAGGCCAGACATAGTACGAGCTTTCTTGTCAAGGTCATGTACTTGTTCCCTGACTTTCTGGATTGCATACGACGTGAATTTCTCCTCAATCTGCTCGGATAGCTCGGCTGCAAATTACTTCTCTGAGCTCGTTGTCTTGCTCCAGGAGTTCATTGACATATTCCAAATCTCGCGCATCCATATTTGCTCAATAAGGGAAACAATGAAATAGCACGACAGATACAGACAACAGCGAGAGAGCAGAATCGACAGTGGCCGGTGTAAGGGAGAGCGAGCGGGCTCAAGCGCTTGGCGCTCAGCGCTCAGGATTGAGCCTATGTCACCGTGACATTACGCGACGCGTGACTGCGTTACATGCAATGTTTGGCTGAACGCGTTTGGCGGCTATCCCGTCCTTTGATGACTTTCCTCTTAACCTCCACCTCCACCTCCTGATACCCGCTCTTCTGTATACTATCTCATCCCTTGTATCTTTGGCATCGTTTAGTTGCTGGATTGCCACGTTTGGCCACGCCGTAGGTGCCCCCATTGGTCTTCCAAAGAGCTCCGAGCTGAACCTGAGCTACTTCCGCAGACCTGCCAAGCTTCTCTCTACTACTGGAATCGCGACTGTTCCATGGAAATCTCGGCGAACAATGGCGTATCCAAAAAGTTAAAAGAGTTCCGTGATACTCCTGTCGCTCACCCGTCCAATCAAGACCTGTACGCCATATTCAATTTCCTCGTCCTCGAGAACTCTCCCGCTGCAGGCCAGATTCACTGGTTCTGTGCTCAAGCGCGGCCTCTTGTAACTGAAGCTGCATCATTCCTACTAAGGCTGCATGCATATAACAGCCCGCTTGTAGTGCAGTGGCGAGCGAAGCTGCAAGCCTGCCTGGCGGGTTGTTCGCAATGTGTAGGGCGATTGCCGGTTATCAAGGATCAGTCTCAGCGCACGTAAGTTTACTAGCTATGCCTCTTGGTATTAATGCGACTCACAAGCAATTAGATACTTAGAGAAGATTGAACATAAGACGCTACAGCAATTCTGGGATAGTTTCGCCGTATGGGAGCTCGAAATTGCTCTGAAATACTGCGAACAGTCCAACCTCCTACCTATTGCCACTGGCACTAGCTCCTCCTCCTCTGATAACTCTGCGACACTCCTTAACGTCCCACCTTCCATCGTCTTGCTGATGCTGTCCAACCTTCAAATCCTCCGAGATCCACGAACCTTTTCTCTTATCCGCACACTCTCTCCGGACCGACCTATATCTGCATGGCCGTTGGATTCGCCTCCTGCCGGACTGTTATTGCTACTAATGGATGAAGATAAAGGTGTGCGGACCTGGGCCTACCAACAAGTCGCTCGGTACACTACCACGCCAATGCCTCTCGAATGCTTCATTCAATCCCACGTTGAGGTACTCGTGGCTACTGTGGCTGCTGTCAGCTCCTCCAACCTCAACGCCGAACCTCAATCTTGGAGTCCTGATTTCTCCTTCTCCCGCGATCCTCTCATCCTCTGGTCTGGGTATGCTACCATGTTGCGCTTTGTTCCACCAGAGAGAATGGGGGCGAATATCGCCCACAAGGCTGACCTGAGGAAAGCTATTGTGACGCATCTATCAGATACGGGAACCCGTAAGTGTCAGTTCTAAGGTTTCTCTTATTAAGTATTCTTATCCAATACATGGCTCTGCTACAGACTTCTTCGAGGTTTTGAAAGTCTTCATACTTCTCCTTCCAGGGTTAGGTCCCGAACTTTGGCAGGGCGAAAGCGAGAACTATCCCCTGCATGTTTTCAACATCATCAAAAACAACCGCTTCTACGCCAGCTCGTTAGAGCCCGATCGACCGGAGCATGGTCACGGGTCTGTTCAGTGGATAGAAGCATACGTCAAATCATTGGGCGAGCTGCCGGCACTTCGAATCCTGATTCCACCGGTAATACAATATCTCTGCGAAGAGTTACAGCATGAACGATACAAGGATTTACGTGCTTCCGCTGTATGTGTAGCTGCGAAGGTTAGTGCTAGCTGTGTAAGTTTCCCATTCCCGAAGCTAACACGACTTCAGCTACTGGACACCTTCTTGGCGAAAGCATCACAAGACCTGTCTGCAGAGATTTCTCCCCTTCTTTCTGCAGTTCTGGAGCCCCTCGATATTCATGCAAATGTCTTCACTTCTGTCGCATTCGGCAAATCATACGTCGGCGATGTATGGGCGGAAGCACGATGCGTCGCACGGAGCCTCATTAGGACGTCGCTAAGGATGGACGTCGGGTTGATCTTCGGGACCATCCGGTGCTTGGCTGCGACCTCTTCCAACACGAAGTCAGTGGCTTCCTCAACAATTCACGAGCAGATATGGCGGAGGATGTACGAGCTAGTTCTCCCAGATGATTCGGACGGCATCGCGATGATCATTACCGTCCTCTCTGATATCGCTCATGTTGATGACTTGCATGAGGGCGCGTTCGGGGCAATCTTCGGGAACAATACGAACAAGGACGACTTCATGAAGGCCGTGCATGGAGTCAACCTTGCATTGGAAGTTATGCGTACGGGATTCTCGGACTCTGTTTCTCGATATTTGGATTTCACCGAACCTAGAGACGCTCTGGCCTTCCTTCGCCAGTACCATATCGTGGGACAAGTTACGACCATCATGTTCTCACCTGTCGCGGTTCTTCGGCAGCCGGTCCAGTCTCTCATCGGTTTCGCTCTCGACGCCGAATCCCGTGCTGACTGTTTCCGTGCACTGTTAGAGCTCGACCCCGACCGAGTCTTCGAGGGCATGTATCGCGCCCTGCAGAATTTCACAAAATCCACGACAACGATGCCTGAAGCGTGTAATCTCTCCAAGGCACTCGCGCTGTGCCTCACCGATGTGATCGATGTCTTGTCCTCTTCGTCCGACGGACTCCTCCACCGCACGAATTTCCTGCAGTCGTTTAAGCAGGCCGGTCCTGAGGTGCAGCTGCCGAAGTGGTGGAGCCTCATGTGCCAGGCCTTGACGCACATCTTCCAGCGCACGCCACGGTGGGCAGATTACTTTGAGAACGGAATGATGGTCACTTGGATGCGTGATGCACTCATCTTTGGACGGGACATGCTTGCGCAGCGGAAGCTTATCGAGAGCGGTGCCTTGGCCTTGTCGCCCCAATCGTTGGCCAACCGTGGCAAGTCGCATATCGGGTCTAAGATGGTGGATGGCCTGCAAGCAGTCCTACTCGAGCTTACGAGGTGGCTTCGACTTACGGACGAAGAACTCCTATTTCAAGCGTTCGCTCTGCTTCAGTCTATGCTTGCGTGCTTCCAAGAAGCGAAGGTGAAACCAAGCGACGCTGCATTGCAGAAGCTTCAGAAACATATCAAGGAAGCGCGAACGCGTGACCCTAAGCGTCCGCTGACACGACTGGACTCAACGCGCGTCGACAGATTGCAGGACGCGATCAGTATGTTCGAGGATAAGGACGGGTCTGACGACGAAATCCAGATCATTGCACACAGGGTAGTAGAACCCGTGGAACGCCGCAAGCGGAAGGATAAGGCCGAGGAGAAAGTGAAGGCCGAACTGAAGCCTGTGTCTGTGTCCGCATCTGTATTCTCTCGTAAGGCCAAGACTCCTTTCTCTAAATCTTTTCGCCCGGAGCCTGCCCGCCGTCCATCGGGGAAAGCGGGTATCAGTAGCTACTTTACCGCCGACGATCGAAAGAAGCTCAACGCTGCAGCGAGCATGTCAAAGTTCAGCAAATCCACGGCAGCCACGACGTCAAAGCCACCTGCCGCCGCCGCCTCTAAGCCTGTTCGGGAGCGAGTCGACGACGCTAAGTCGGATGCTTCGTCGTTTGGAGGCTCAGCTGCACCCACCTCCACAGCACCATCTAGCGACGAATCCGACAGCGATGGCGGTGAAGAGAGCGGGCTGGCTGCCCTTGCGAAGCTGCAGAAGACTCCTACGATCAAGAAGGCACCGGAGCGCAGGCAGGTCATGATGCTGGACCTGCCTGGCACTGTAAGCAATCCTGCTCTTGAAAGGCTGAATCAGAGGTCCGCGCGAGACGAGGCACGCCGTACTGCCCTCCGACTCAAGCCCGACATCACACCCTTGCATCGGACCATGCTTTCCTGGAATTACGACCACGATGGCTCCGATCCACCCGGAGAAAGACTAAATTTGGTCCCCGTCCCAGATAGCTTCAAGGACGAACAGCACTATCGGCGCGTGTTTGAGCCGTTGCTGCTTAGCGAATGCTGGGCACAGATCCAGTCGTCGAAGACGGACACCAAGAAGGAGGAGCGGTATGCGTGCACTATCGTCATCCGCCAGTACAGCGGCGAAGATTGGATCGACCTAGACATCGCGATCACGGATAGTGTACACAAAGAATGGACGCTCACTGATGCCGACCTTGTACTGCTCAAGCATTTCGATGGGAAGAAGAGCGTCATGTGCAAGGTGCAGAACTATCGGTCAACGCCGATGAATGCCAATGCCACGCTGAGGATGGTGGCTTCTCAGGATGGGCCTGGTCCTCAGACTGGTTCGTCTTGGATGATAAGCAAGATTACTAGGTTCGTTTCTTCCTTTGTCCTGAAAACTCGTACTTACCCTCTTCTAGCCTCACAACTATTCACCGAGAGTACTCTTCCCTCATGGCCTTGCCGTATTATGATCTTTGCCCCGCGATACTGGACGCGAACCTCCTCCAATCGGCGAGAGCGAACTTAGACGACGTCAACCAGACCATGAAGGCGTACAACCTGAACGAGCCGCAAGCTAACGCTATTCTAAGTGCGCTACGGACCGCTGGATTCTCTCTTATCCAAGGGTGCATTCTTTTTCACTTAATCCTGTCTGGACTTGCGCTAACGACAGCTGTATAGGCCTCCTGGGACAGGAAAGACGTCGACTATATGCGGACTCGTGCAAGCGTTCTTGGCTAAGCGAGGCAGAACGGCCACCGCTATTCACGCAGGGCGTAATTCCGGCCCGGCAGATAAGGAACCCAAGAAGAAGATCCTCCTTTGCGCACCAAGTAATGCGGCTATAGACGAGATTACTTACCGTCTGAAAGAAGGTATCTCGGGTCCCGGTCGCCAGCTTGTCATTCCGAAGGTTGTCCGGACAGGTGGTGGAAAAGTCGGTCTTTCAGTACGAGATGTCACGCTTGATTATCTCGTAGAGCAAAAGATGAACACCGGCGGGCAAGCAAAGGCGAATTCTCAGGACGTCGGGAGTGAGATTGCTCTGCTGCGTTCGAAACTGGAAGCAGTGAAACATAATCGCGAAGCCAAGCGTACTGAACTTTTGACTGTACATGACAACACCGCGAGGACGATGCAGCTAGAAGATACTATTCGAGCTCTCAACAAGGAGCGGACTGCTCTCACGTCTCAGCTGGACAAGCTGCGGGACCAGCAGAAGTCGAATAACCGTACTTTCGACGCTGTCAGCAGGAAATTCCGCGCGGAGATTTTGCAAGACGCCGACGTTATTTGCACGACGCTCGCTGGTTCCGGTCATGACACGCTCGAGCCTTACGAGTTCGAGATGGTTGTCATTGATGAAGCTGCTCAGGCAGTAGAACTGAGTTCTTTGATTCCGCTGAAGTATCGCTGCCAACGATGCGTCATGGTTGGGGGTACGTTGAACACTTTGCTGTTTGCCGTAAATCGGTATTGAATGACTATCCAGATCCGCAACAGCTACCCCCTACAGTTCAATCCCAGCAGGTGGGAAAGTGTGTCCTGTTTGCGACATGCCCGTATTAACATTCATCCCAGGCCACTGGCTTCAGCTATAATCAGTCGTTATTTGTCAGATTACAGAAGCACCATCCGGAGGCCGTACATCTTCTCAGGTGAGCCCACTGTGATCGAGGCTCTTGAGTGTATGCTTATTGTTGTATTGGAATAGCATCCAATATCGTATGCACCCAGACATTAGTTTACTCCCTAGTCGGCTCTTCTACAATGGCAGGCTGTTAGACGGCCCAGACATGGCTTCAAAGACCCAAAGGCCATGGCACCGCCATCCGAAATTTGGGCCGTATCGCTTCTACAACGTTCATCGAGGCGTCGAAACAACCGCCTCTCACTCATATCTCAACCAAGCGGAAGCAGAGATTGCGGTTGCGTTGTACAACCGCCTGCGACAGGAATTCAGCGCGCATGACTTCGACTTCAAGATTGGGATAGTCACCATGTACAAGGCTCAAATGCTCGAGCTACGTCGTGCGTTCGAACGTCGTTTCGGGACAAATATCCATGGGCTTGTGGATTTCAACACCGTGGACGGTTTCCAGGGGCAGGAAAAAGAGATTATCGTACTCTCTTGCGTTCGGGCCGGACCTGGGGTAGAGAGGGTCGGATTCTTGCGAGGTCAGACTCTACTTGTGCGCAGTAGCATCGGACTCAACATTCTGCAGATGTGCGGCGAATGAACGTTGCATTGACTCGTGCGAAGTCGTCTATCTTTATCCTCGGCAATGCGGCTACCCTGGAGAGAAGTGACGAAGATTGGAGGACAATTGTCAAAGATGCTCGAGAACGCTCATGTCTTGTTGACGTAAGTCACCGAATATGCTACATGTGCTTATATCCCTGTTTATGAGGCCACTTGTTTATAGGTTGATGTCACATACTTCACGAGTGCTGGGTCTGCATCGATCATTAAGAGGGCAGCCCCTGCAAGATCAAGGGTGTCCAGCAAGCAAGCGGCGCCATTGTCATCATCTCCCACTTTTTCGACGCCACAAGAACTAGTAGCTTCTAATCAACGTCCCTTAGCATCCGCCGTGGGGGCAGCGCTGGAAGTCAAGGCTGAACTTGCCCCTATCCTCGCGGTACCTACCCAAGCTACTCCTTCAAAGCCCTCGACAGCTTTGCAGTCGACCAGTGCAGAGCAGAACGCGATCATGACTGCACAATCTGGGCAGAAACGCCCCGCAGAGGACAATGCCGCTGCGGAGCCTGAGCCTAAACGTAGACCGCCCCCGCCCGCTGACGGTCCTCGGCCGCCGCCGAAACCTAAGCCACCCGTAAAGGAAAGGAAGAAACCAAGCATATTCATGCCTTCAAAAGTGAGCCCGAACTCGACCAACTTCGTTATCGCGACTCATCCTTGTCAACAGCGACCAGCTATGGCTGGGGATGCAGGGCCATCCGCCAACCGACGCCGTATATGATTATGTCTTAACATCTGCCGAGGTTCAAGGCTTCCATCGCATTGTACAGTAATCACGAGACTAGACTTGCACGTAATCTCACCACCTACTACGTCGCCTTCGAGTCTTCCTCGAACGAAGAGATCCAGATTAGTTATGGCGACTAAAAACGCCGCCAGGCCAGCACTACATCTATGTCATGGGTCGCTGGTAAGTAATCAAATCTGATTGACAAGATTCGGCGACTGAACTCCTGCCTACCGTCCTTATCCCACATGTCCTGACTCCTCGAAATAACATATCCGGGCTAGACAAATGTCCAGCCGGCACGGCCAGCTAAGCTCAGGAATACCGGAAGTCCTTCGTAACGCCCTTGCGGGTGGATGTTCTCCTTGCACAGCGAGAAGTGAGACGGTTTCAGCCATGCAATTGACAACAACCTGTGCTCTTGTTAGTCACGCTAGCGCTGGCATAGCCAGACCCTGCTCTTGATCTATAGGGTCTCTGCATGAAAAAGATGGGCGTATGCCTATCCGAATTACAGATCTGATACATTTCACGGCTGTTGGCGTGCGCCGACGACAGGGTGCCCCGATGAGCATTGCCGAACGAGCCAGCCTGTCCAGAGATACCTTATGGAGTCGGACGAATAGTTGGCCGACGGCCAACTTAGCGGCCCAATCTCTCGGTGAGAAAGAACTCAGGACACATGGGAAATATTCTGAAGCAGCAGTATCAGCGTATACCGACCTCAAGTTCTACCCTAGCTCGTAACCACGTGCGTACTTCTGTTTGTCCTCCATAATGCTGAGGGTTATCACCGCAGATACATAGCCTACATGATGCTGCGCAGCCGTATCTAGCTTGTCGCCCCTCGTTCCACGGAGACGATGCGTAGCCGTGTGTCCTACCGACCTTCGCGGCACTGGTATACTACATGGTAAGCTTTGTTCTGGACGCCCAGCTCTATACTGTCCTGAAACTGGTGCACCATCGGCCTGTACGTCAGCGTCTACATGAGCACTTCCGCGCGTGGCGTGTGGCTCCTTCAGCCCACTCTGGCAACAAAACTGCCCGCGGCGCGCCAACAGCACACCCCGTGAGCCCCGGGAAAGGGACTGGGCTATCAACGGCAAGCTTTCTACACCTGTCTGAGCTCCACATGCAGCCATGGAGCGTGGGCAGGCCATCCATAACTGGATACGGTCACAAGTTAGTCGTTGCATCCGGTCAGCGATGGACGCCGTATACTGGATGGATGGTCGGACATACGAGCACGTTTATAAGGTACAGAGCAACAGGTGAATACTACAGTTCTGAACCCCTGACATTCATAATATGGAGACTGGTGCAAACACAACCATCGAAGTGAGCTCCTTCTGTTATTACCTCACATGCCCCTTCTCTAACGAACGTCTTTCGTTGCAGCCAAACCCCGTGCATTTCGCTAATGACTTCAATCTCGCAGTGCAGGCTCAGCTGCCAGGGGTCGTAGTGCCCCAGAAGATCTATGTGCCTCCCCGCCCCGGTGGACATAATCCTACTAGACTATCGCGACTCATGTTTTCCTCCTCCAATGGCTTGCCCGGCGTGCGCGTCCAGGACGTCATAAACGGCACGGTGGACGTGCTTAATGCGACAACCACTCCTACTCTATCGGAAACGGGAGTAAGGGTAACCCTCCGAATCTGCGTATGCAATTCGTCTCTTCGAATCTTGTCACCGTCGCTGACAATGCATTTAGTGGCCTGGGTATCCAGAGTGGACGAAGAACAACGCTGTTGTCCTCCAAAGCAACAACCAGCCGCCTAGAAACCTTGGCGACATCACCGCCCAAATTGCGACTGCAATCGAGACATTCTACAAGGTGTGTACCCTGGCACTTTGATCTAGAACCTGGCGAAAACAGAATTGACGTGTTTAATGCAGGAAATGCGCACGGTCCCCGAAGAGACCTTGGGAGACACCTCTGGCTGGGAACTCAGCAAGATACCTTTCGAGTCCCTGTACTTGGTAGAGATCCGACCGGTGCTGCAGGCAAGCTGGCAGCCTGTTATTTGTGTAGATATAGCTTGAAGGAAGGAGAAGATGAGTAGAAGTCGGCGGCTCAGATACCGCATTGCATGTAAGGTAGTCGAGATAGAAGTGCGGTTATCAATGCTCATAGCCACATGAGCGTAACGTACACAATAGATGCTACGTAGGCAGTAAATACATCCCGCCATCCTGCCATTGCCGCGAGCATCAGTATCACGGGTAGGTATGAAGTTGACTTCATCATTCGCGGAGACCAATGTCGCCTACACACTTTTCATCTTCTTCACTTCGGACTTCGAATATTTCGATACGTCTGCGAACCAACGCCTGTTGAGGCCGGGAAGCCTGAAGCCTGAAGATTATCATGTCTCTACAGGCCGAGTAGTATGCACGCGCCCTGGCTTGGAGTACTTTACTGCCCTGCGTGCTTTCAATTTGTAAGTTCCTATCTCGATGCCATTCAACTTGCTTGGTGAAGTCCGAGTCAACGGAAACCAAAGGATGTGCACGTAGTTGAATGCGGCAGCTAGGGCACGTTTCGAGAGGACTCCAATGCCAGAGTCGGTGGATCGACGAAGAATTTCATGTCCGCATACCGCTAGGCACTGATATCTGCAACGTGGAATTCATGAAGACACTTCGGGGACTGAGGCCTGGGGGAGAACGATATGGCACGCGCTGGAGACAGCCCTTTGGGCTATGCTCACCTTCTGCTAAGGTTAATCAAATCGGACATTCTTACTGCGTCTTATTTCGACAGCAAGTCAGGCGAGGCGTGCGAAACATTATACTATTACTTGATATAACTGCCATTCGAATTCCGGGAGTGTGGAGCACAGTGTCAAGTGTAAGCTCCGCGACCCATTACTATATTATTACTATATTACTCTACTATTGCTATACTATTTCGCATATGCCCTCAAAGTAAGAAACGATTTTCTTATCCTTGTCTTACTCGCTCCAGCGGCCCCCCTCTCCCATCCCTCACCTTTCGATGGCCCCTATTTCGTCATTCTCCTGGGCACAATCGTTGCTTCCGCTCTCCTTTGCTTACACCGCGCGCAGTGCGGCTATGCTGCAGCCCTATCTATTCATCGCAGCGAGTGAAATCGAAAATTTTGAGCTTAAATTCCCCGCCCGCAGAACCACATCCACGAGGACAGCAGTCGCGGAGCGGCCTCTTGTACTATAACGCAGATGCCCTCAAAGTAAGAAATGTCTTTCTTATCCCTGCTCCAGGAGCCCCTCTCTCTCCTCCCTCGTCTTATATACCTTTTGGCCACCCCTATTTCGTCATTCTCTTTGATCGCGTCCGATAATTGCCTCCGCTCTCTTTGCTTACGCCGCGCGCGGCTTGCCGCTCCGTGCTGTACGTTGAGCTAAACTCCATAGCTAAGCCAGGATTAATATTACCAAAAATCTTTATCGTGTCATTCAACACCCGCAGAACCGCAGCCATGAAAATAGCGGTCGCGGAGCGCAGCGAAGCTACCTTTTGTTATGCACCACTTATACACACAGTTTGGGCTTAGATCCCCGCCACAGATCTGCAGGACCGTCGTCCATGTCGGGAGTGAGGTCAAAGCGGTGTCAATCACGATATCCGAATCACCGTCGTGCTGAGCGAGAGCAAGGCGTAGGATGGAACAAAGATGCGCTCAAATACGGAGGATGTGTATATCCCTCGTCTCTCCACGTCGCGAGCGCTACTTAGAAACTTCGTGGCGTGGCAAGGCACTCTCGTGCTTTGACTTCCCTACCCCAGGACTTCGCGTACTACGACCATCGAGCTTTCAAGCTCAGGTTTCATACCACACAATCAGCACATCAGCGTCCCTTCCTGACATCCTCACTGACCGCAACGAATAAAAGCCCTTTGTGGCTGATCCTACAGTTGTACGGCTGAATATGAGGGTGCCAAGGGTCACCGGTCAACGTTGACCGGTAGGTCAACATGGATGCTTGTTTTGCAGGACGACAGATCTGCACTCAGCTTTCGGTCTCACACTAACTGAAGTCCTGTTGTCATATCAAGGCGCTACGGCTAAGCTGGAGGCATGAAGGCTGATAAGCAGCGAGAAGACGAATCGCGTTGGCCCATACGCGGCCTTCGAGGGGTGACTGCGGGTAAGCAATGTCGATGTCAGTCAGCTGCCGCTGAGTTCATCACTGTCGAGCCTTCGGTTCTATCGTCCTCTGTAGTCCACGCTCCCGATGCAGCAACCCCGACTGAGACCGTTCGCTTGGCGTGCTTAGCCGGATCACCTCAGGATGTCCCGACGATTCCGAGTCCATCGCTGAACGAGACATTGCGCAGAAGACATCGACTTGGATCAGTCCAGCGGGCGCCCCGCATCACTGCACCTTGTTCAGTCTCTCTGCTGAGAGGATGACTCGTCGGCCAATTACCAGCCTAGACGGCTCCCCGTGGTGGGACCGGGTAGCGCTTAGTCCATTAGCCCCTTTGCTGACAAGGGTGCGATTCGCGGCCACAATTTCGCGCCAGGCACTCGGATGCCGTGCCGTAATGTCATCTATTGGATTGAAGTTGTTGGAGACGGCAAGCACGCGGCTCAGCCGCGCTGAGTCTCAACAAAGGGACTGAGCAAAGACCCTGTTCTCTGCTTGATTCTCAATGCTGTCCCCGTTCACGGTGCTCACGTATAAAAGAAAAGTGCGTTCGAGCCGTTATCTACATTCCACTCCCAACAGTCTCATCTTGTTCAATTTTTTTTCGCCAGCTTGCTCCCCTATCCACTGACATGCCTGCTGTTCCTAAGGGTACAGTTCTCGTCTCCGGCTGCAATGGCTATGTTGCTGTGTGGGTCGTCAAACAGCTCCTCGAGGACGGGTACACCGTACGCGGTACCGTTCGAAGGGAGTCGTCCATCCCTTACCTCAAGGACCTCTTCGGAAGTTACGGCGACCGCTTCGAAAACATCATCGTACCTGACATCACCAAGGTATGTCTTAATGTTTGTGCCACTTTCTACAGTCATTCAGACCGACTCCAGGAGGGCGCATTTGACGAAGCGGTTAAGGGCGTCGATGCCATTGAGCACACCGCGTCGCCTTTCCATCTGAACGCAGACGACCCGCAGGAAATCATCGGCCCCGCCGTCTCAGGCACCGTCGGCATGCTACAGTCTGCTCTAAAGCATGCCAATGGCACCGTCCGCCGCGTCGTGGTTACCTCGTCTTGCTCTGCCGTGCTCACCGAGGACCCAGACCTGACTAAGTCACACACCTTCAGTGAGGTCAACTGGAACGAGGCCGCGATACAGGACGTCCGCGAGAACGGACGCAATGCCGAACCGATCGACAAGTATCATGCAAGCAAGGCCCTCGCTGAGCGTTCGGCCTGGGAGTTCGCCCAAAAGCACAAGGGCGAGGCTAAGTTCGACGTCGTCGCGATCAACCCGCCATATGTGTACGGTCCGTGGCTTCACGATGTGAAGAGGGTCGAGGACCTGAACACGTCAATGATTGCGTTCTATGATGCGGTCATCAAGGGCAACAAGACCCCCGAAGAGTTCGCAACCGGGGGGTACGTATGGGCCCCCTGTCCAGTTCGACATCGAATACTGACGCGCGCGTTCTTTCCCTAGGCAATCCTGGGTCGACGTTCGTGAAGTGGCCGTTGGTCATGTCCGTGCGCTTCAGCGTGAAGAGGCTGGCGGCGAGCGTATCATCACGAGTAGCGGGCCGTGGAACTGGCAGGACTTTGGTGTGTACTTCCCCACTGCTCCTCATCTCATCACGGGTCGCTCATGTAGTGGCATCGTAGTCAACGCTGCGCACAAGATCGAGCCCAGTCTACCGGCTGGTAATACAGCATATGACCCCAAGACGGCTGTGTACCACACCTGCTTCGACAATAGCAAGAGCAAACGTCTTCTTGGCCTCGATTACCGCACTATTGAGGAGACGACTCGCGACAGCGTTGCGCAGTTTAAGGAGAAGGTCTGGCTGTAAGCTAGTTATCACACTGTATAATGCTCAGTGTAACGTTCACGTTGGTCTTGTACGTATGATTCATGATTTGAAGCGACAGCTAGTTGCCATTTCTACGGGTTTGCGGGTTGATAGACTTTGTCTGTTTAAATTTGGTAGCTTATGTCCGTGCTCATATCTGAATTCAAGCTAGTCTTGCTAATATTCTCTGGCTTGTGAACGACGGACTGAATGGATTTAAGAGATAGTACGCAAACGAGTGCGAGTCAGAGCAACATGATACGTTGCAGACGTAAGTGCTCTCAATCCTCTGCGGTCTTGTTTACGACTAGGAATGTGTGTGCGCCGCCGTTCTCGTGATGAAAGGGCCAGTATCCAGTCGATGGGGACCGTGATAGGCTGCATTTTGCACACCAACCGTGAAGCTGGCGTTGCACAGTCCGAGAAATACATCTGAGCCTCCGAAAACTCGTCATATCTTTGACAGCTGCGAAGGCCCTGTTGTCGAGCTGGCCTGAGCTGCGACGGGCCACGGCGGCACCATGTTGAGCGCTTACTACGCTGATACCGGTGATAGAGTGGTGATGGGGATCAATTGATGCGTCTTGCATTCTGCCCGAGCCGCAGTGCAACTCACTGACGGCAGTGACGACTGCGTCCTCCCAATCTTTGGATGCCTGTCAGTATACATATTGGCATGTAGATGACCTTACCTATGCCAAGAGCACGAAAGCTGCGGTGCTCAGCCCGCCGTGCCCATGTCCGTCAAAGGAGAGGTGCTTGCGCGACTCGGAGTCCTCCACGCGACGGCAACGAAGTCACGCATATGCTTATTTCACGTACAACTTCCTGATGACCATACAAGGATCGGTCATCCAGACAGCCTAATTTCCCGGCTACAGTGCGTCTTCTCACCAATTCAATCCTTTATTAATTGCAGCGACGTCAACTCGCCGTGCCGCCTTGCTGCGCAATCTGCAATCTATGTCCCCTGCTCTATAAAACTAGCGTTCAAAAGCTTAGCAGAACAACACAATCGCTCGGCGATCGGCATACCTAATAACGAGGCACCATGGCTCCCGAACATATCACTTTTTATACCCATGCCGTACGTCTGGGAATGCTTCAGTCTCCGAGAAATGTCTAACGGTTATCAACGTAGTGCTCTCCTTATAGCCACAGGGTCCACATTGCCCTTGAAGAGGCGAATGCTGAGTACACCTTGTGCACCATTGACGTGATGAATAAACCTGCGTTTTATATCGACGAGATTAATCCGGCTGGCAAGGTCACCCATTATTTGTCGTCATCCTGCTATGACAGTAAACTAAACTACAGTGCTTCAGGTCCCCGCCATCTCCTATGGCGGGCCCAAGGTCAGCCCGGAGCGACCCTCTCCGGAGTCTACCAAGCTCAGGGAGTCTGGCGTCATCCTGGAATTCCTTGCGGACCTTTTCCCAGAGTCCAGTCTGCTGCCCAAGGACCCAGTCCTCCGCGCTAAAGCTCGTCTCTTCATCGCCGTCTTCGATGCTCAAGTCTACGAAGGCTTCAAGGGGTACTTCTTCGTGCGCGAGCCCGCGGCTAAGCTCATTAGCGGTCTGGATGCGCTTCAGAAGCAGCTTCCCGCCTCTGGCTTCGCCACAGGGGAGAAGTGGACGAGTGCAGACATGGCCGTTGCACCGTTCCTGGTTCGCATTTTCTTTTTTCTTGAAAATGACTTGGGCGTGTACCCTGCTGGCGAAGGCAAGAAGACTCTCGAGGTCCTCCGCGACGAGAAGTTTGCTCGCCTCAACAAGTATCTCGAGGACCTCAAGGCTCAGTCGAGCTTTAAGGCTACCTGGGACGAGGTGCGGGATATTTGGTTTAGTCGCAGATTCAAACGTTGTTGCTAAACAGTTTTTCTGGCAGAGCTCTCAACTTGCCTTTTGGGAGAGCAGCGTTATGTTCAAACGCGATTGAAAAGGTTTCCGTCTTGTGGAAAGGACGTTTGCAAGGCTACAGCATCATCTGGTGGTAGCTGCTATGCGGGATACTGGTAGTCACTGGGCCATTCGTATAGATCTACATACAGTGAGAATGTAGGAAACGACGGCTGATGATCCCTAGATTCCGGCACATGAATGGCGTTTCGACTAGTGATTCCTGGTAAGTCTATTCGTGCCGCTTAGAGCCCGGTCAAAGTTGGGTTGCCATGCGACTTCCGAGCACTCGATAGACGACGTCCAAAAGGAAAGCTTACGCAGATGTCGGGAGCGAACCTCGGATATGGAGAAGGGAATGGTGCAAAACTTGGGTTCAGGTCGAAGAGTGTTAGGCTGCGCAGATAGCAGGCTCTCGACTGTGGGTATTCGCATCGCCTTTCGTTGTCGTATAGCATGTTGACGAACCCCCTCTGAAGGCGCACGAGAGATCGTCGATTGGGCTGTACAGTGGTCACTGTCCGCGGGATGTCAGTGCAAGCTGTGAGCTGCGATCACAGAAAGTTCCGCATGTCAGTCGCATGGCCGTTTCGTGTATCAAGGTCAGTAGAAAAATTTTACTAGCCATGCTTTGGCCAATCACTGTGGCTTATTATCGCACTCTGACATCTCTGATATACAGCCACTGTCTTGTATCAGGGATAACCGTATATCATGTGGCACACTGGCGAATTCCGGTCTGGCTGGGAGCGCACTGGTCCTGCGAGAGATATAATGCTGCCCACTCGCTGCAACCTTTCATCGCCCAGGTACCCAGCACCGTGTCCTCCGAGTCGAGCCTCGAAGACTATGTCTCTCAAGTGTACGTCTTGCATGCAGCTGTCGTGCCAACAAGCGGAACATCTGACTCATGTTTGCAGAATTCTCAGCAACCGTATTTCCACGGCTATGAACGGTATGTTATTGCACACCCTGCCTGGTATTGACTGTGTCATGCATGAACCAATCAGCACTGGCTATCTACGAAATTCTCATCACCATGGATCTCGAAATTGCCACAGTATGGAAGCGCAAGTGGAGTGCGACGTCTATACTGCTGCTCAGTTCGCGCTGGCTCCTGCTGCTAAATGCTTTCGTTAGTGCGCCCTGGCCAATAAACCTCAAGGTAAGAAATTTACAGGACATTCTCTGCTACAAGTTATCTGATTAGTTCATAGCTGTGGGTTCTTCTGTTAATTCGATGGAAGAGATCATTTCCAATATCTGACGCAATGATATAGTTGCATTGCAAGTGGTTTTTGGGGCGACATTGTGAACATCTTAACACTGCTGCAGATGGCTTGTATGTCACCGACATTCGACTAATTGGTGTTCTCCGGCGTGGGCTCATTGTATCGACTCCATACAGTGTTCTCAGCATTGCGGGCATACATACTGTGCAACTGCAGTCGCTGGATTTTCGGCGCCGTTTTGGCATGCGGGCTAGTTCCAGTCGCAACGAACGTGGTGAGCCCCGGCTGCATAGGAACTGCACAGCCTCCTGCTAATAACGCTGTCCAGTTTGCTGCATCCCGCTCTACTTATGGTTTGGTAGTAGTACACCTTTCCCGCAGTGCATTGGGATTATCAACGCATCCGAAGAAGTCAATAATATGTGAGTACTATGAATACATGGCTGCTGCTGCAGGGTCAAGTGTTAACACCGCGCAGAAGCGAGACTTGTATTTCGTGGCCTTCTAGAAACTTCTCACACCCCGAATAGTGGTGTTCCTCACGCGTGGATGTTTGATTGCAGTTGATGTTGTCGTTCTTCTCATTACATGGAAAAAGACATTCCACCAGTGGGTCACCGCGCGGCGCCTCAAGGTGCTGTTGTCAGTCTCGACCTGTCTGCTCACCGATGGTGAGTCGCAATTTGGTACTATCTAAGATGTAACATGTCCTAACTATGAGCGGTACTCAAAGGTACCTACTATTTTTTGTGAGACGCTCCCGCTGTATTATGCCGTCGGGCGACAAGCTCACACTGCCGGCAGGATCCTTCTCGCGTGCAACATAGCACAAATGGTTACCGATACAGCAAGTCCCTACCTCACCTGTCGCAAGACGCATGCTTACATGTTCCATCCAGGATGATTTCGTAGTCGTGCAGGCTTTGTGCCAGATTTTGGTAGATCGTCCTGCCAGAGTCACCCGCGAGAGCTGACGCTGACATCGGGTTAGCCGCAGATCCTTATCTCCCGCTTCATGCTAAATCTGCGGTCAATCGCCCCCAGTACTAGTGGCAGCGCCTCAGCAAGATCCTCCGTTGCAGACCGCTTCTCGCGGTTCACTGCACCCAACTTTGTCGTTCCAGAGATTGGCAATATCGGGGAGCCGCTTGACCACTTCCAAGTGGAGTCGTTTGCCATGTGTAACCCGCACGAAGAGCTGGCCGTTGAACTTGGAAAGTCGGGTGGACTCGATGCTGAAGAAGCCGTCGCGGCCGCTGGCCCTTCTGGGATTCGCAGCAACGATGGCTAAGACGTCTGCGCCACACATGCGCGCAGCAACCCAACTCGTGGCTTACACAAACTACAGCGCCCCGTCCCCGTCCCCAAATAACTCAAATCAGAAGAGGCTCTATTTTCTGGTGAAGCGACCCCTGTTCAGTTTGCGGATTCGTTTGGTGCTTTCGTTAGTGTATCGAATATCCATACACGCTAATTCCAAAACCTGTTGAAGATATTGCGGCAACAACATCGAAGCTTCATTCTCATAGATAGCTTGTGACCCGTGTTAGTATACAGTCTACAAAGAGGCACCTTCATTGAGCAACCAACATTTCACATGTGAGACATATCAACAATCTGCAGTCATGTCGAGGCCAAAGCGCGCGGGCAGAGCGAGACGCAGGAAGTACTCACACAACGGGCAAAACCCGCATCCAGTTCCGCGCGAGGTGCGACTGGACATCATCTCCAGTACCGCATCCAGTACCACATCCAGTACCGCATCCAGTCGCGCAATCAGTCGTGGGAATTACTGTCGTGATTGGCTGAACCCCTCCAGAAAGGCAGTGTCAAGTACTAAAAATAGAAGTGATGCACTGCCCCAGTGCCCGACGCTGTCCACCCTTGAAGCTTGAAGCTTGAAGTTGTGTCAGTGTCCAAAGCAATTCTCAGATTATTTCGCCAGCCTATTTCTCAGGTGCCGGCTGAATAGCGGCACAGCGTGATGGCGTGATGGGAGATAAGCAATATTCCGCGCGCATTCTCAAGGCTACCTGCCAGATTGAGAGGCTTTCATGCGACTTTGAGTGCGCTGGCTGCTGAATTCACAGGGGCTAGCACCCCTCCGCCCGTGCACATCGACACTGTGGCCGTTAGCCAAATGAAGGGAACACCCAACCCTTCCTCGCCATAGCTCTTTGCTCGCCGAGGATGTGGCCCCGGAAATCGCCGCGCTGCTCACTGCGCGCTGAGCGCTGGGCGCATGCATCACATGGTCCCATGCAAGGGCGACGCGATTAGATTTGTGGCTTGTGACGCTATCAAATCTGTAGCCTTGACACAAGTTTCACGAGAACCAAAAATGTGTTATTTATGAATAAATATTTAGGCACCGCAGCAATTATT